GTTTTATTTCAAACAACTTGAAGTTCAACTTTGCAAAAATGGTGCTATTCAGCTGGACTTAGTGGTCACACCTGTAAGTCCCAGCACTGATGAGGCAGAGAGAGGGTAGTGAGATCAAGGCCAGCCTGGGCTGCATTTAGCACTAGCTTGGGTTAAAATGGATGTGCTAAACCATAGTATCTTTAATTTTTATTGAACCTCTTTTTCTTTCTCACTTTAGACAGTTAATCAGCTTGCACATGCTCTCCATATGGACAAAGACTTGAAAGCTGGCTGCCTTGTGCATGTATTTTGGCCCAAAGCAAAATGTGCCCTCCTGAGAGATGACCTGGTTTTAGTAGACAGGTAAATTTACATACAAATTGTGTTTTCTCTTGGTTTACTTGGTAGAATAATGCTACTTATCACACTGCTGTGATCTGATTCCTGACAAGAAGCAGTGTGAGGGAGTAGTGGTTTGTTCTCGGTTGGAGGCTGGAGTTCATCATGGTAGGGAAGGTATGGCAAGAGCAGCAGCCCCCAGGAGCATGAACTGCTGGCCACAGTGTGTCTGCAGTTAGGAAGTGCAGAGGTGAGCCCTGGTGCCCTGCGGTTAGGAAGTGCAGAGGTGAGCCCTGGTGCCCTGCGGTTAGGAAGTGCAGAGGTGAGCCCTGGTGCCCTGCGGTTAGGAAGTGCAGAGGTGAGTCCTGGTGGCTTACTCCCCCCCCACTTTTTTTTTTTTTAACTTGGAAAGTCTAGGAGGTTTGTATGCTCTGAAGGTAACTGAATGATTTTAGAATTTTCCATTGCTTTTACTAATATGCATTTTTATGTGTTTAAATTTTACTTTAGTTTGTGGCATTGGGGCTTGAACCAAGGACCTTGTGCTTACCATGCAGGTATTCTGCCCTGAGCTATAGCAGCAGGTCCCATGATGTATTTTAAGATCATCTTACTAGTGCTTGATGAAGTAGTGCACATTGGTTGTTTATTTTTCTTAACTATAGTATTCAAAGGATTCAAACATTTTTGTTATGTTTTTGTTTCTTCAATGAACAATTTGATGATTCCCCCTCCCTTTTTTGAGACACAGGGTCTCTTATATAGACCACGCTAGCCTTGAACTCACAGAGATCCACCTGCTTTTCTTTCGGAGTGCTGGGGTTAAAGGTGTGCGCCACCATGCCTGATCCCAGAGGGTTTTTGTTTGGGTGAACTTCTAAGCATTTTTATCTCTAAGCTATACTGGATATAGCTGATTGGAACAATTTATTGATATTAACCTAGACTATTATTGGTACTTTCCCCCCAGATTTTCCAGCATAAAACTTTAAAATTTAAAATGTAAAAGATTGCTTGTTTTGTCAAAAACATTGAATTAAAATTTTCTAAACAACTGCTTGATGGCTGAGAGAATGTCTTCCTTTTGGACTTGAAATGATAGAAAATGTTTTTGCTTGTTTGTTTTAATCTGTAACCCAAGTTTTGCTTTTTAACAAACATCATATGACACAGTGTTTGCTTCCTTCTCATTAGCCCAGGAACAGATGTTACCACAGAGCTGGATAGCTGGATTGATAAGTTCTGCCTCGATGCTGATGTCTTTGTTTTGGTTGCAAACTCAGAATCCACACTGATGAACACGGTAGGATTTATTCTTACTGCTGTGCTTGGGTGGCGTTCACTTTAATTCTGTAAAGAGAGGGCAGTCCTGGTGATGAGCTAGAAAGTTCACTGAGGGCTTGCTTTCCCTAGGACTAGAGGGCTGTTACTGGTCTCCTGTAGTGTTGCCTGGTTTCAGGAACAATCTAGGGCTCAGTGACTTTAGCTTCTAGTGTTTGTGGGTTTAGGGTGATTCAAGCATGAGACTGACAATCACTCTATGTGTGTGTTAGCCTGGAAGAACATGGTGCCAAGGTTGTTGAGATGTTTACTTAGGAGTCTTTTTTAAAAGACTCCTGCTTCCCTGTCAGGCATCTGGCAAAACTTTTCTCTTCAAGTTCTCCACCTTTCCCAACTTGATGTAGGTTCATGTTCATCCAACCTGGCTTGGAAGGTTCTTTATCCTTAATGACCAGATTCAGTCCAGACAAGCTTTCAGAGTTTAGATATCTAGTATGCAAACAGTAGCGTGCTATTGAAAAGGTTATTCACCGGAAGTGTAGGAATGACTGAGTACCATTGTAGCCAAGGTGTCACCAGTAAGATCTTACTATCACAAATACCAGGCTTCTGTTGTAATACCGGACAGCTTGTATCCTCGTTCTGTGAGAAGCTCCACAAATGTTTGAGATGTTGTACAGGACCATCATGATTTGGTGATGGCTAAGTGCCAAGTCCTTTTACAGCTTCTAGGGACAGACCTGACTAGAAGTGACAGGGTAGTGAAGAAAAGGCAAACAGATGGAAACACACAGAAAGAGTGGGATTGGGAGGACCGGATTATCTGATGGAGAAACCACAGCCCCTAGGTGCTCAGTGTGTCTGTTATATGTGTGCAACAGAGAGGCACAGTTGTTGCCTACAGCTGAGCCAGGATATGGGGCTATTACAGATGGATAAGGGGGCAGGGGTATCATAAACAGCTGAACAAGAGGCAGATTTAGTGGGAGCAGTCTTTGTGGGGGAGCAGTCTTTAGGCTGTAAATATCTGCGGGGAGAAAGCTACTGTGGTCATTTCTGCACACACTGTCAGCATCCCTGTGTGAACCATTTCCCTATGTGTCAGAGGCCCATGTCAAACAGCATACATTAGCTGAGGGCTTCACTCCCACAGATGAGCAGATGGCTCAGCCTCAGTCTGACTTTGGTGCCTCTGATTATGCTAGTCTCATTTGTTCTCTCTTTTGTGCTAACAATCAAACTCTGGGTTGTGCATGTGTTAGGCAAACACTGTCTCTGAGCAACATCCCCAGTCCTATTGATGCTATTCTTTTCTTGCAATTTGTCTACTTCTGAGCTTTTCCTTTTTCAGAAATACCTGTTAAGCTGGCTGTAGTCACATGTCTGTGTAATCTTGTATATAGAAGCAGAAGAATGATATATTTAATGCCATCTTTGATATATAATGAGTTCAGGGCCAGCCTGGATTATGAAAGACCCTGTTAGCAGCATGTCTAAACCCATCATTAGTACCTATTATTTTCTTTGTGGAGCCATTCCTATTTTCAACTAGCTATGGCATCTTGCTGTGAACAGACACAACACTTACTTTACAGTATTTATATAATGATCTTCGCTTGAACTTATCTAAAAGATCAAGAAGCAGTTTATATGACATTTGCTTTGTTATTTGAGTTTATACAAGTATGCCAGTGAACTCAGCCAAATTTATTTGTTGGTTTGTTTTCGAGGCAGGGTCTCACTATGTATCTCTGGCTTGTCTGGAGCTAACAGTGTAGAGCAGGCTGGCCTCAAACTCACAGAGATCTGCTTGTCTCTACCTTGGATTGAAGGTGTGCCCCTACCACAACCATCAGCTTAGCTAACTCTGAAAAATGATTTGAAGTGACTTTTAACTTCTGGGGCTATTATCAGTCAGTCACTTTTTGTCCTATACATACAGACTGGTGAGTGTTGGTCGAATCTCAAGAGAGACCTGGCAAGAGCAGGAACCCTTGCCATTGGGTTTGTGTTTTGATTTCCAAGGGCAAGATGAGTGTTCACAAGGGTCTTAGTGGATGCTAATCACTGTGCTTTAAATGATTCAGACTTTATGTCTGAGGGTTTTCATTATAAGGGTAAATACAAAGTGCTTGTTGAAATGTTGTTCTTGATATTTTTCAGGAGAAACATTTTTTCCATAAGGTGAATGAGCTGCTCTCCAAACCAAACATTTTCATTCTGAACAATCGTTGGGATGCTTCTGCCTCAGAGCCGGAATATATGGAGGATGTAAGTGTCACCCCTATTTTGAACTATAGTTGTGTACATTGTTATCTGAGAAAACAATCGACCTCAGAGGACATCACGAGAAATTATTCTGTGATTGTTGAAATAATATGAATATAGCTGGGCGTCATGATACACACTCTTATCTAATGCCTGACTTGGAAGGTGGGGGCAAAAGGATCAGGAAGTCAAAATCAATATGAGCTGTAAGTTTGAGGCTAGCCTGTCTGAAAAATTAAAAGAAAAAAAATAAGAGTATGATTTTAGAAAACCTGTAGGGGTTTGTGACAGGTATCTGGTACACTAAGCTATAGTTTTTCTCAGAACTAGAGACTTCTTTTTGTGTCTCACTTTTTTTTCACATGGGTGTTTTGCCTGCCTTCCATGTTTATGCACCCCTTCCATGCCAGAAGAGACTAGAATAGGGCCTTGGATCTGCTAGAACTGGAGGTACAAACGGTTGTGAGCTGCCGTGTGGAAGAGCAATTATATTCTCAGTCATTTAGTCATCTCTCTAGCCCCATGTTTAACTTTTATTGAAGTATAGAATGTGTAACAGAAAATGCCTACCCGAATCATTTAGTGCTTGACTCGGTGGATTTTCACAATACCTGCATCAGAACGCAGATGAAATAACTGAGCCTGCCTGACTCCCAGAGCTTCTCGTGACTCTGGCTTTTTTCTGTTTTGGTTTCTTGCTTTGCTTTTTGAGATGGTTGTTGGGACTGGAACTATGACCTTTTGAAAGAGCAACAGGGGTTCTTAAATGTTGAGCCATTTCTCTAGTCCCAGTTTCCATGTTCTTAAGAAAAATAGGCTGTTATATTTTTATTTAAAATGAAGACGATAGCTTTATTTTCTATTCGTATTGTAGTACTTCTTTTCTGATTTCAAAGGTATTAACAGCCCCACGGATGACAGTGTAGAAAATAAGCAGAGTAAAACTAAAAATGTTACCCACTTCTGCCCACTACTGTTAATGTACATATTATTTTTATTATGCCCTGAATATAAAATTGATTACATTGTCCCATACAATTAGGTAGGTATTAAAACTCATTTTGTGACGTTTTATAATATTTGAGTAATATTTGATGTTCAGAAGGAAAGTTATTAAGTAGAGATTTCCTGCTATCAAAATCAGACTTCATATGTATCACTATGAGAGTATGACCATGACAGCTTATAGAAGAAGGTTTATAAAAGTTTGTTATGGTGGGGAGGCAAGCTATAGTCATGGCAACTAGAGCAGAAGCTAAGGGTTCAGATCTTGAACTGCAGGCATTAAGTAGAGAGAACAAACTGGAAGTGGGGAGAGGCCTTAAGTTTTCAAAGCCCTGTGACACTTTGTCTGTCAAACAAGGCCACCAACTGAGTACAATTATTTAAATTCCCAAGCCTATGTCAGATATTTCTCATTCAAAGCATGACAGTTATTATACCTGAAATTTAGTACAGGCCTGTGGTTGAAGGTTGTTATTATTTCTGTTTTGTTTAAATTGTCAAAATTCCTGTGCTACTTGCAGGTGCGCAGACAGCACATGGATAGATGCCTTCACTTCTTGGTAGAAGAGCTCAAAGTTGTGAGTCCTTTGGAAGCTCGGAATCGGATCTTTTTTGTTTCAGCCAAGGAAGTTCTCAACTCCCGAAAACATAAAGCCCAGGGGATGCCAGAAGGTGGTATGTAGTATTTACGGTTTCCTTCTTAAATATAAATGTAGGTCATAACTAAGCAGTAGCATACTGGAAATCTTGTCTCCTGCTACCTGTGACTGTGCTCAGCTGTGGTGCAGTAATATTATATGGCAAGTGTTAAATCACACTGTCAAGAGTTGTGTGGTAGCCAGGCAGTGGTGGCGCGTGCCTTTAATCTCAGCACTCGAGAGGCAGAGGCAGGCAGGTCTCTGAGTTCGAGGCCAGCCTGGTCTACAGGAGCTAGTTCCAGAACACCTAGGACTGTAACACAGAGGAAACCTGTCTTGAAACAAACAAACAAAAACAACAACAAAATAAAGAGTAGTGTGGTGAGCTCTCTCATCATCCCATGAAGCAGGAGGCTTCCTTTTGTTCAGTACCCATCTGTCTTAATGAGCCAGCATGTTACTGCATGGTTGTGCTGGAGAACCTTTATTGTGCTGAAGATAGCCCAAATGGAGCATGCCCACTGATGCAGGCAGTTTAGTCAAACCCAGTGATGATCACAAAGTGCTTCCTTTAGGTGAAAAGGTGAAATGCTTGACTTAATAAAGCTTGTTATGATTCTACAGTAAGAACAAATCTGTGAAACTGTGAAGATGCAAAAAGAAATTTGTGTTAATATGCTATTGTACCTCTAACTTCAAAAGATATGACCTCAGTGCATACTAAATGCTTTCTTAAGATAAAAAGGGCATTAACTGTGTATGTGTGCAGATGATAGAACATAGTGTCCCGGTTAGATTTCTGTCAGTTTGATACAAGCTAAGATCATTTGGGAAAAGGAAAAGTTTAATGAAACAATGCCTCTATCAGATTGACCATTGGGCATGTTTGTGGTGCATTTTCTTGATTAGTGACTGAGAGAGGGCCAGCCCACTGTGAGCAGTGCCACCCCAGGCAGGTTGTCCTGGGTAATATAAGAAAGACAGCTGAGCAAGCCTTGGAGAGCAAACCAGTCAGCGGCATTATTCTTTGGCATCTGCTTTGGTTCCTGCCCTGGCTTAACCTCACAATGAACTGATGGGAAAAAGTAAGCCATGTTTACTCCCCAAGTTATTTTTGATTATGGTGTTTTAGCACAACAATAGGAAGAAAACAAATTAACTCATGTAGTATAATAGAGGGTTTCATATTTTATAGTTTACAGCAGCTATGATGTTTTGGAACATTTGTGTCATAAGTAAAGAAGGTTATTATACTAGATTTAAAAATCTTTGCCTAAGTCAGGCATGATGGCTCACGCCTGTAACGTACATTCTTTGGAAGCCGAAAAAGGAGGATTGCCACAAGTTCAAGGTAGTAGTACATCTGTGTAGTAAGACCTTGTCTCATAAAACAAAAATCAAACTCTTTGCCTGTGTTACAGGTGGGGCACTGGCCGAAGGATTTCAGGCAAGATTACAAGAGTTTCAGAATTTTGAACAAACTTTTGAGGTAGGAATTTCATTACTACTGGCTTGTACACGGCACTGGTTGGAGAGGGACTATAATCTTAATTGTCTACCTTTGTCAGTAACCTCTACTGTTATTAAGCGTAGTCCTGACAGCAGCAAGTGAAACAAGAAAGGTTTGAAGAAATGAAGGCCCTGCAGGAAGGATGACCTGTAAGAATTGAGAAAGGTGTATTCTATTTTTGTTTATAAATGAAAAGTGGTCTAGTATTGCTTATGTTGTGCAGTGAATGGTTATTTCTTGTGTTCATGCCTGTGGAGCAAGAGCAGACTAATTTCTGTTGGGACAGATGATGGTTACTGGGTAGTAGTTGACAAAAAACCCTAGCCAGCACAGAGGGAAATTGATCTTGGGTTGTAGGCATTTTTTTTTCCCCCAAAAACTTAAAACTTATTCTGTCTTTGAACGAAACATTGTTTGGATGTTGACATTCTAAGTCCTTACATAGCCTGCTTAGTATAGTTTTGCTTGATTTCCTATCACCTTCTCAATTGCAAGTGAACAAAGACTGTAGAATTAGAAAACTGCTGTCCATAATTATTCCCTATAAGGACTAATTGCCTTAATAGAGGCCATAAATGATGATGAGTGTACCAAGCCAAACTTTTTAAATGAAAAGTTTATTATTCCCTAATCTTTTATTTGGTGAGAGAAAGGCAGGTGAAGACATGTATTTAAAAAAGGAATTAATATCAACTGCTTTTCTTTCTAGGCAGGGTTTCCCATGCAGCTCTGGCTGGCCTGGAACTTGTTATGTAGACCTTGCTGGCTTTTCTTAAAAGACAAGTGTTTATGTGTTTTTTTTATTTTGAGTCAAGGTCTCTATGTTAAGTTGGTCTTGAATGCTTGGGTCTTACTGGTCGTCCCACTATAGCCTTCCAAGTCCTGGAGACCACAGGTGTGACTCCAAGCCTGCTTTTGGTAGTGACATGATGGATGCTTGGCCGTTAAGGTACAAGAAGAAAGCTGGGTACATGGCTATTGTCTAAGCTACTTGGGAGACTGGGTCAGGATGATTTCAGGGCTATCCTGGACAGTTTAGTGAGACTGCTTTTTTAAACGTGTGTGTGTGTGTGCAAGCATGTGCATGTATTAAAAAAAAAGTGCATATCTCCATGAATGTTACACCCAGGGAAGAGGTAAGTTCATCCTGTCTTCTTAACTCTGAGTTTAAAACATACTGAAATAGCATTCTTGGGTGTTTGTAACTGTGCATTATTAATAAATTGACTTCTTTAGATGTTAACAAGAAATCAGAAAACAGATTGATCTGTGCTTTTCATTTTGGTTCTCAGTTTTTAAATTTGAAAGTCTATATAACATGTTCTGACAAGATGGAATTGAGAGTAGTTTGATCAGTATTTTTTAACCTGGTACAAAAGTACAATAGTTTCTGATAATGTAACTCTGCAAATTGCACTTTCATGATCCCAGCAAAAATTCGTTAGTTCAGAGTGTGTAAGGACTTTCTCACGGTGCTCCTTCAGACCCTGTAGATGACTAGAACCCCCCATTGTGGATACCCTCGGTGGAAAGGCTTCTTTTCTTCCTTGTGCTTGCTCATAACTGAATCTGTACCTCCCACGCTGGTGACATCGAGTCCCTTCACTCTGTCTAGTCAGCTCTCGCACTGTGCTGTCTTCTCTGCGCTGGATCTTCATTACTGACATCTAGATCGACTTCATCGAGGAACATTGCTTTTAACTTTTTTCTCTTAAAATTGTTTTTATGCTTTTGTTATAATTTTATAGATATTTATTTGGCACATTTACAAGGTAGTTATGTAAAATAAAATCAAAGCTTAGTTGGATCATTTAAAAATTCTCAGAGGTGGGTAATGATCACAGGTTCTAGTGAAGGGTGTGTCTCAGAGCCTCTGCTTCAAACTCATAGAACAGGAGTAGGCAACTTGCTGTCAGTAGGTTAGTAAGAATGAGTGATGCTTCAGGGAGCTTCATGAGAAAGGTACGGGGGAAGAAAGAAGAAAGGTAACTGGGGAGGGATGGACTGTCATTACAAGCCTAAAAGAATTGCTCTGCTTTCCATACCTCAAAGAAAATACTGAAGAAATAACTACACAGCAAAAAGTTAGGTTTTTCCTGAGTGAGACAGCCTTACGAGGTTGTGAATAGCACGTTCAGTAAGCGTGGGCCATACAGATGACTCTGGTGTAACTCACACAGCTGGAGGATTGAAGCTTGAAAGCTTCTGTCAGTATTGACAGAAGAACAATAGTCAGTTTCAGGAAGTCATGACCACAATTAGTATCATATGCACACATGTACACACACACACACACACGTGCTTGCATACGTATCTATCTATCTGTCTCTCCTGTCTGTCTGTCTGTCTGTCTGTCTGTCTGTCTGTCTGTCTATCTATCTATCTATCTATCTATCTATCTATCTATCTATCTATCTATCTATCTGACATTCCCAGTGATGGATTCTTAGTAGTGCAGGAGTATTGTATGGCCCAAATAGAAATAGAAAGTCAGAAATTTCCTATAAGCAAGTTTTACTTGCTGATGCTGACACCGTGTGGGCCAGTGTTTCTTGCATTGTTCAAAGACTATGTGGTTTTTTTTCTAACTACTTTGAGTTTTGAAATATTGTATCATTGTAGAATTTTACTTTCTTGGAAGTAAAAATTAAATGAGGTTAGTTGTAACAGTTTTGTTAACTTTTTTTTAATATTTATTTATTATTTATACAGTATTCTGTCTGCTTGTATGCCTGCAGGCCAGAAGAGGGCACCAGACCTCATTACAGATGGTTGCGAGCCACCATGTGGTTGCTGGGAATTGAACTCAGGACCTTTGGAAGAGCAGGCAGTGCTCTTAACCTCTGAGCCATCTCTCCAGCCCCTTTGTTAACTTTTGATGATGAATCATTAAAAAAGAAAGTATGACATATATTACACATGTTAAAAATTGAGACAAAATTTTACAAATCAAATGTGTCCATTGGTATATGTGATGCATTCTGACATATGCGAGTTACAAGAAACAAAACACACTATTGACACGGTGTAGTGGCATGTATTTTCCATTTCATTTTAAGGCCAGCCTGAGTTATATAGAGTCTAGGTTATGTATAAAACTCTGTATCTAAAAACAAACTCAAAGAACCAGAAATAGTCATGCATGCCTATAACCACAGCACTTGGGTAGCAGGGGGTTGCTGTGAGTTGGACACTAGAGAGCGAAACCTACTTCAAAACTTCAAGACACACACATGCGCTCTCTCTCTCTCTCTCTCTCTCTCTCTCTCTCTCTCTCTCTCTCTCTCTCACACACACACACACACACACTCACACACTCACTCCAACAAAAAAAGAGGATGAAAGGAAGGGGAGCGGTCTATTTGTTGGGAGACACTGGCTGATTGTAGCCACCTCTGCTGTGAAGGGGAGACAGTCAAGCTCAGTGTCCTTCAGGCCTGGCGCTGTCTGTGCTGCACTCTCATGGTCTTTGAGATAGCTGCAAGTGGCTTTCTATGTGTACTTTAAAATGTTAATGATAATTTTAACTGCTCATATCTTATTACTCCTTAGATATTCTTTTCAGTAACCTTAGGTATATTATCACGTTATATAAATCATTTTATTTATTTATTTTTATATAAATCATTTTAAAATAAGAACTCTAAAACAACACCACCAAGAATTCTAACAACTCAGACTTTATTTGGTTATATATTACAAACATGATTAAAACAAGGTAAATGGAAAAACTCAAATAGGTGTTTCTCGTGGGACATCTGTGACCCTGAGAATAGTGCCATTTGTTAGTTTCCTTTTTTGTTGTAATTGTTTTGTAGTCAGCCCCCTGCACATTACTGTGTGAAGATGCACAAAAATACAAACTTGCTGTTACAGCTCTTCTTACTTTTAAGTTCTTCAGTTTGCTTAATCTTTGTAATTTTAAGTTGTGTTTCATCATGCAATTTTTTTCCATCTTTCCTTTTGGTTTTGGTTTACATTACAACCAGCAAGTTTTTGTGTTTGAATTCCTGAAAGTGTTTGGATGGAATTGCAGTAATGTGTTATGGCTTGGGCCCCTCGCAGGAGTGTATCTCGCAGTCAGCAGTGAAAACAAAGTTTGAACAGCACACTGTCAGAGCTAAACAGATACTAGACACTGTGAAAAACATATTGGACTCAGTAAACGTGGCAGCAGCAGAGAAGAGGTAGGCATCCCCATTATTATGGCCCAAATGTTACTTTCATTGTGTCAGATCTTTAGGGCTGAGGTTTGAAATGGTACGAAAAATACTTTGGCACTAAGCCCAGTTTTGTGACTTTACTGGTGCCTGCTTGTGTATTTTTAAATTAATATTTGAAGATGATTTATTAATTTTGTGACCTTCCCCGGGTGACTGTGTATGAATTGTGGCTTTAAAATGTTGAGTAACGTCATGGGAGAGGAGGACCGATCTTCAAGCAGAATTGTAAGAAGATTTCCAAACCAGGTGATGCTGTTTACAGTCAATTCACAGCCCTTCTCCTGTAACCTTGAATAGTATGCGGAGGTACTGAAGCAGACAGCTTTCCCAGATGTGGCACACACCAGCTCTGGTGAGGCTGAGGTGGGAAGAGCTTGGGTTAAGGCCATCTTAAAATATGAAACTTGACACATTTGGGAACAAATTGCAAAATGTTGTTAGGTGTGACAAATATGTTATCAGGCCTCATGTCTTAGCAAGCTTAACCCAGTTCAGGGAAGCATAGAAAGATCAAAGATTAAGTCAAGATGGGGTGAAATTGAAGAATGTTTTTGAGATAGTCTAGTCTAAAACCCATTGGCACTCCACATGCCTCAGCCTCCCAAACACAGGGATTAGAAGCTTCACCTGTTAAACCTTGATAAAACTGAGGGTTGCTTGGTTGTTTATAAGTCCTCTGTCGCTGGCACTTAAAATTGAAGTTTTGAAATTACATATTTTCACTAAGAACACCGCTCTGCCTGTCCTTGACTGTGCAGCTTATAAATGATGGCAGCTGAGGCTGTGCCCTGCGTCTGTCTCAGCCCCGGCAGCGTCTCTCCGCACAGCTTGCATGCTGAGCGTGTTGCGGCTGAGGCCCGTTCCAGCTTGACTCCTCCCTGATGCACGCCAGATAACAAATATAGTCTAATTGGCTGACTTCCATCTTTTAAAAAATAGGACGTTGAACTAAACGTGGCAAAAGATGTGATTTGAGAACAATGTCCTGGAAATTAATGCTGCTGGTTTTCTTAAACAGCTCCCAGGTCCTACTTTTCCTGTCACCCGAGGTCCACAGACCTTCACAGGGAGTCCCATAGTGGATATTTGGAGCTTTGTGGGCCGTGCCATCTCTTGTGTGCCTGCTTAGTCATAGACAACAGGAGGAGCTTGTGGCTTCCCACTGTACTGTCTGCTTCACTTGTTTATTAACTGAATCGCTGTCGTGGAGACTTAGAATCCTTACTGTTTTTGTGGGATGCAGGTAACTCAAGAGAGTCAAGGTCATTTATATTAAGCCATCGACATTGAAGGACTTGCTAGGTGAAATGCAATTGTAGTCCTTTGAGACTTTGAACACAAGATTTCTTTTTTCTTGTGTCATGTTAAATAATGGTTCCAGATATAAATGAATGACCTTGCTTAATTAATTGCTTTAGACTTTAACTGGCCCACATATTGATCACTCTTCCTAATAAAATAGGGTTTATTCAATAGAAGAGAGGGAAGACCAAATTGATAGACTGGACTTCATCCGAAACCAGATGAACCTCCTAACACTAGAGGTTAAGAAGAAAATCAAGGAGGTCACGGAGGAGGTGGCCAACAAGGTAACAGTGTCTCTGGTCATGGTGTCTGGAAGCAGCAGTATGTGTTAGCACTAAATGCGTCTGTCTCTTACCTTAAAGGAGTATGTCCCTTGATTTGATATTCTCAGCAGTTGTAGTTGCTAATCTTTTTTTATTTTATCTTGTTTGTTTATTTGAGGGGATGTTATGCAGCCCTGGCTGGCCGTGGATGACTTTAATTTTTAACACCGAGTTTTTTTTTTTTAATGTTTTCAGGTTTCTTGTGCAATGACAGATGAAATTTGTCGACTGTCTGTCTTGGTTGATGAGTTTTGTTCTGACTTTCATCCTTCCCCCAGTGTACTGAAAGTGTATAAGAGTGTAAGTTCAAGTTGTTGGCCACGCGTTCTGAGGCTGCTCTCTTGCTCTTTACTTTATTCCTGTGTTTAGTGGCTCTTTCACTGCGTTCTTGGCAGTTCCTGTACAGAGGATGACAGCTCCCATGCTCTGGTGTAAATACAAACTGTCTCACGTGTAAAATTTCTGAGGGCCTGGGGATGGAGCTTGGTGGTCAAGCATGTGTTTAGCAACTGTGAAATTCTAGGTTCGATTGCCAACATCCACCCAAAAGAAGATCATTTCAACAGTCTTTATAAAATCTACCTACTTTATATGGAAAAAATAATGTGGACATTTACAATTATTATTGATAGGAATTAAATAAGCACATAGAAGATGGTATGGGAAGAAATTTGGCTGATCGGTGCACCAATGAAGTCAATGCCTCCATGCTTCAGTCACAACAAGAAATTATCAAAAACTTGAAGCCATTACTTCCAGCTGGTGTACAGAGTCAGCTTCATACACTAATACCTTGCAAAAAATTTGATCTCAGCTATGATCTCAATTGCCACAAGTTGTGTTCAGATTTTCAAGAGGACATTGTGTTTCGATTTTCCCTGGGCTGGTCTTCCCTTGTGCATCGATTCCTGGGCTCCACAAATGCACAGAGGGTGCTGCTTGGGCTCTCCGAGCCTGTATTTCAGGTATGTGTCTTGATTGCTCCAGTTGGCACTCTTAACGCTGCTCATGCACGTTCACTTATAAGCTGGCTTACTCGAATCTGCCTACTTAGGAGCTCATGTCTGCCTCATCCAGCCTCGTCTGAGTTGGAGTTTGTTTGCCCATTAATACTATGAATGCCATGTTTGCAGCTTCTCCATTCACTTTTTGTATCTGTACATGTTTGCCTGTGTGTACAGTGCATGTTCATGTGCATGTATTATGTGCCACATGTGAAGGTCAGAGGACAATATGTAGGAGTCGGTTCTGTGCTTCTACCATTTGGCTTCTGGCATTGAACTCAGATCCTCAGACTTTACAGGAAGTATTTTTAAAATTTGGTTCTAGACTTTAAATAAATTAGAATAAGCTTTAATTTTTGTTAATTTTAGAATTTCGAGGAAGTTTATGGAGTAAAAACCATCCCAGAGGCTAGAGAGATAGCTCAAGAGTTAAAAGCACTCTTGGGCTTGCAGAAGACCTGAGTATCTTCTCAGCACCCACCTGTAACTCCAGCTCCAGGGGATTTGTTAGCCTCTTCTGGCCTCTGCACACTGTCATGCATTCACACAAACACATACATGTGCATATAAATAGTAAACATAAAAATAAATGAAAAACATCACCGTAGTCTACTTTTAAAGCATTTCTGTTGGGGCTGGAGAAGTGGCTCAATGACTAAGAATGCACGCTGTTCTTGCAGGGCCTGAGTTTGGTTGCCAGCACCCACCCTGGGTAGTTCAGAACTGCTGTATCTCCATCTCCAGGGATCTGACACCCTCTGGCCATTGTAGGCTAATGTACACATAGCCCCCTCCATAAACACATGATTAAAATTAAAGAAGAACACTTTTTGTTCTTCTCTGGAGATTCCCTCCTGCCCATTCATGTCTCTGGGGTTAGCAGTAGTCAGTCAGGTTTGTCAGTTTGGATTTGCCATCTACACATTCCCTAGTGTCTCAGGTGCCTAGGCAGAGCTCAAGTAGGATGTTTTCAAGGTACATCCTCCGGGTGGCAGAGTAATAGGTGGAACACATTTTATTTCTCCACCGTCCATTGGCCCATAGTGTGCTGGCTGGCTTTGCAAGAAAGTCATTGCCAACGAAGCCTGCAGAAGTGATTATGTAGCATGTAGGGGAGTCTTTTCATTAGTGTCAGTAGAGGACAGTGAGAGACTGCTATTTTAGACTAAAGTGGGCTCTACTAAGCAAACTTTAAGATAATGTTTATACACACCTCCCCTTTTATATTCATTTAAAGGTGTTGGGCCTCTTCCTTGACTCTCCTAATACTCCACCATTCACTCTGTTCTCATTTTCTACCTCTCCCATGAGTCGCCTTTGTTCCTAAACAATTCTGCTTCTGCTTGCATATCCCAGTATATATGTGATACATGTATCTGTCATGTCCAGGACCTGCAAGTGAGAAAAGTCATCCAGTACTTGTCTTTCTCATATGATTTATTCATGTAATATGGTTCTCTTTAGTTTTATTGTTTTCCTGAAAATGACATAACTTAGAATTCTATTGCATATATAAACTATATTTTCTCTTTATGTTTGTGAGGGTACATGCTTTTTTGAAAACTTTATTCTTCAGACAGAACATCTCATCTTCAATAAAGGCTTTCATGTAACCCACACATAAAACTACATTTTTCTTTATACATTCCTTTGCTGTTGTACATCTGCCTTGGTTCTTTTTTTTTTTTTTTCCAAATATTCATTTATTTATCACGTATACAATATTCTGTCTGTGTGTATGTCTGCAGGCCAGAAGAGGGCACCAGATGGTTGTGTCATTACAGATGGTTGTGAGCCACCATGTGGTTGCAGGCAATTGAACTCAGGACCTTTGGAAGAGCAGGCAATGCTCTTAACCACTAAGCCATCTCTCCAGCCCCCCATCTGCCTTGGTTCTTATAGCAGCCATTGTGAATAGCACTGCATAGTTGCTTTTGAAAATGTTGTAGATGTGCTTGCATACTGTCATGTGGATGTGCATGTGTGCCCTCATGTGGATGTGGGCTTTGCTTCTGGGGGTACTCCAGGAGTAAATGCTACGCCATGTAGTAACTTGAGGTAAACTTCCTTTTATTAGCATTCTCTCCCCTACCTGCCTCCCATCCTTCTTTTTTAAAGATTTTATTTATTTATTATGTATACAACATCCTGTCTCCATGTATGCCTGCAGGTCAGAAGAGGGCGCCAGATCTCATTACAGATGGTTGTGAGCCACCATGCGGTTGCTGGGAATTGAACTCAGGTCCTCTGGAAGAACAGTCAATGCTCTTAACCACTGAGCCATCTCTACAGCCCCCATCCTTCTTTCTGCCTGGTGTGTGTGTGTGTGTGTGTGTGTGTGTGTGTGTGTGTGTGTATGTTGGGGTGACCTTGAATGTGAAATCTTCTTTCCTTTACCTCCCAAGTTCTGGGATATAGATGTGTGCCACCGTGCCCTGCTAATTTAGGTATTTAGACAATTCTTACTTTGTAGCCCAGACTGGCCTCAGACGTAATGATCTTCCTATCTCAGCCTCCTGAGCATTGGGATCACAGGTGAGCATCACTCCTGGCACTTATGTTTATGTTTCTTAAGATTTTCCAATTTTTTTTCCAAGCTGGTCACATTTTACCCTGCCCGCAAGTACGGTGAAGGCTTAATTTTCTAGGTGTACTTTGTACGCTTGTTTTATTGTCTATCTTATCCTGATGAGTGTGAACTGATATCTCATCATGGGTTTGATTTACACTACCTTAATGACTGATTTGAACATGTACTTATTAAATAAACCCTTTGCCCTTGTGTTCTTCTTGGGGTATGGGGCTCTTGTAGTCCTGGCTGTCCTGTAACTCTGGCAACCAGGCCGGCCTCGACTCCAGAGATCCACCTGCCTCTGCCTCCTAGGTGCTGGGATTAAAGATGTGTACCATCAGTGCCCAGGTGTGTTCCTTTTGAGCAATATTTTTATTCACGTTCTAATTGTAATTGTTGGCCACTACTAAGTTTAGGGATTCTATAATCTGCATGTAAATTTACAATTTACTTTACAGATTGGTGATGTCCAAATATATTTTTCAGTGTGTGGCTTATTTTTTAATCTTCTTTGATGTGTTTTGCCTCCCAAGTGCTGGGATGAAAGGTGTGCATTACCATTGCCCAGCTGTTTGTTTTAATGCTAGAAATGAGCTAGGACATTGCATGTGCTAAGCACACAAGTCTTAGTACTATGCTACATCTTCAACTCTTAAAAAAAAAGTAGTCTTAGCTGGGTGGTTGGTGGTCCATGTCTTTAATCCTAGCACTTGGGAGGCAGAGGCAGGCGGATTTCTGTGAGTTCAAGGCCAACCTGGTTTACAAGAGCTAGTTCCAGGACAGACTCCAAAGCTACAAAGAAACCCTGTCTTGAAAAACAAAAAACAAACAAACAAAAAAATTTAATTCTTGGGAGATAGAATTAGCTGTAGAGGTGGCCCAGTGGTTAAGAGTGCTTACTGCTTTTTCAGAGTTCTCAGTACCCACATTTAGGCAGCTCATAATTGCCTGTAACATCCAGGGTATCCAACACCTCTATTCTTGGGGTACACTGCATACATACACATAATGAAAAATAAGAAAAGTTACTCTTAGAAAACCAGTTTTAATTTTTATTGATTTACTATTAAATTTATTGTTCATTATATCATTAATTCACATAGAAAATAATTTCTGTGAAGGTACATGTTTGTCATTTCAGCAGTCTGGTAGCTGAGGCTGGAAGATTCTGAGTTTGAGTTTCAGGCTAGCCCTGGCAACTATGTCAGACACTGTCACAACCCTCTCCACAGCCAACAAGAAAAAGAACTTTTAGTGTTTTTTTATTTTCTTCGTGTAGTTGCATTCCACTCATTATTTGGAACCTTCCCCTCCCCCCCATAAATTGCTTTACCTTTTTTTTTTTTTAAACAAACCGCTTTATAAATGTAACTCTTTTTGTTGTTGTTGTTGTTGTTTTCTTCTCCTGAACTCTCCAGCTCCCTAGATCTTTGGCTTCAACTCCCACTGCTTCTCCTAATCCAGCAACCCCAGACTGTGCAGCTCAGGAAGAGCTCATGATCACCTTGATCACAGGATTGGCATCTCTCACATCTAGAACCTCCATGGGCATCTTAGTTGTCGGGGGAGTGGTAAGAAACAGTTCTTTAATAAAGTTAACATCATATTCTCAGGAACTTTCAAGCATCTGAAAATTTGTAAATGGTAAATGTGACCAAGGAGCTGGGTAGTGGTGGTGCACACCTTGAATCCCAGCACTTCGGTGGCAGAGGCGGGTGAATCTCTGTGAACTCAAGGCCAGCCTGGCTACACAGAGAAACTCTGTCTCAAAAACAACAACAAAAAAGTAGTGACTAAGATTTTACAGGTGTAACTTATCTTTAATAACACATGCACACATGCACCCCTACCTACCTACATCCTTACCTGTAAGTTTAGGGTGAAAGCTGTTGAGTTGGTTTCTGTTTGCTGTTTGTTTGTTTTCCTTTGGGCAGTGCCCCCAGAGCCTTGCACATGCCAAATAGGCATTATACCACTGAATTACCTTCCTAACCGTATCTGGCTTTTAATAAAATGACCTATTTTCTCACTATAGCACACAAATAAGTGATTTATTTATATATTGACTTAACAAGAAAGAGCCAAGTTGGTAGAAAACTTGCCTTTTGTGAGGGCTGGTTTAATCTTTGACAACAAACAAGATGTCCTGCAGGACTGTCTCTGAATACCAATGGGAGCTGTCTTAAGTATTAAAGATTATTAGTAAGTTGTGTTCAGTTTTTTTATTCATTAACAGCATGTATGTGCTGTTATAATGTTTGAAACATTCAACCTAAAATATAATTTTCTTTCTTCCTTTTTTGGGGGGGATAATATCAAGTTGGTGCTGAAGAGATGGTTAAGATGTGCTGCTCTTCAGAGGACCCCTGCTTGGTTCTCCGCACCCACATGGCAACTCAGCCATTTGTAATTCTAGTCCCCGGGGTTCTGATGCCATCTACTGGCCTCTACAGGCACTACACATACATCTGGCATACTTTCATGTAGGCAGACAGAACACTTATACATAAGAAAAATTAAAGAAAACTTTACAAGGGAGGGAGCTTAATTCAGCCCATCAATTGTGGCAGGCTGTGTAACTCCATCCTAGTGTTTATATTTTTTCTATCAGATTTCTTTATGAGGAAGGTATATACATTTTTAGAAGATGATCACTGTCTCCTTCTAATGTGTTTGTTTCTCACAGTGAGCTGTGACTTTGTCTTGCAGATTTGGAGAATAGTGGGCTGGAAACTCATCTCTGTTTCCTTAAGTATGTATGGAGCTTTGTACCTTTATGAAAGGTTGACTTGGACCACCCGCGCTAAAGAGCGAGCATTTAAGCAGCAATTTGTGAACTATGCAACCGAAAAGCTGCAGATGATTGTGAGCTTCACAAGTGCAAACTGCAGCCACCAAGTCCAGCAGTAAGTAGGGAGGTGCAGCCTGCAGAGGATCTCTGCAGTTGGTGAGCACATGTGTAGTCACATCCAAGACACCAAGAGCTCTCCCCTGCTTCCCCTCTCAGCACTCCGCTCCTCATTCCCTGGTAGATTAGGGTTGAACATTTGGAAGTTGGTGTATAGGAACGCTTTAGAAGTAAGGAGAGCCGTCTTTAACAAATAGTTATTTAGCAAACCTATTCTAAGTTATGATCCTATTCAAATGCTTGTGGTTCCTTCATTATGAAGATTGACTTTTTAGCATTCATTAAATGGGCTCAATTAAGTGGACAGACTTCTCGTTTTTGCTTGCTTGTTTGTTTTGTTTTGTTAAGACAGGGTCTCATTGTAGCCCAGGCTGGCCTCTAACTCATGGCCGTCCTCCTGCCTCAATCTCCTGAGTCCTCTTTGCCCTGGTGATTTTGTGATGAATAGAATGTGCTTTTTACTATCATAGTTCAAACTTCAAGTCTGTAACAGCATTGGTTTTTAGATCTCAAAAGGATTTTCTTATAGTTCTAGGTCTACACACTTTCTCTTTTTCTTTTCTTTTTTTCTTTCTTTCTTTCTTTATTTTTTTTAGTTGTTACTGAGTAAAATCACACTCATAGTAAAGCTCTGACTGATCTTGGACTTACTCTGTAGACCAGGCTGGCTTTGAACTCAGAGATCTTCCTGCCTCTGCTTCCTAAGTGCTGGGATTAAAGGAAGAGGCTACCATACTTGCCACTGCTTTTTAGATTTATTTTATGGGTTTGAATGTTACACCTGCATATATGCCTATTTACTGCTCTGGAGGCAGTGGGACCTGGGAGGATGGAGGCAATAAAGGAAGCAAGCTGAAGTCTCATGCAGTAGCCACGTTTATTCAGGGCATCAGACAGTTTATACTCTGAAGGTTAAGAAGAGTCACATAGGTAAAGTATACAATCACAAGGACAAGCCTCATACAGCAGAAATATGTCTTTCCATGGGGCATAAAAGCAAATAACAATAGTCAGTTGTAATGAATAGTCTGAAAGAAACTCTCTCCTCTGTCTGCGACACCAGGGAGGGGCACAAAACACATTCCAAGAACCATGTTCTTGAAGAAACTGTGGTCACAAGACTCTTGTCCTGTTTTCTGAGTTTTCTCACAAGCACTCAATTCTCACACAATTTTATTCTTGGGCTGTGGTCCACCATATTGGAGATGAGAAGAGAGCACCAGATCCCCGGGAACTGGAGTTACAGTAGGTGTGAGCCATCATGTGAGTGCCAGGAACCAAGCCCAGGTCCTCTTCAGGAGCACCAGCTATTCTTAACCACAAGCTCCCAGTTTCTGCTTTTATAACAGTTAAATATTAGAAGAAGTGTATTAAATTCCCTTTAAACCAGGTGCATTGTTGTATATTTAAATATTAGAAGAAGTGTATTGAATTCCTTTAAACCAGGTGCATTGTTGTATATTTAAATATTAGAAGAAGTGTATTGAATTCCTTTAAACCAGGGGCATTGTTGTATATTTAAATGAATTTGAGACAGTTTAGTCCCAGAGGAGCTCAACCTAAAGAGGTAACATGCAGGAAAGAACAAAGCAAAGTGACGTCTTCCTTCCTGTAAGGGAAGCCTGAAAGAGAACAGCCTTTAATAAGGGTTCCTGGAAGCAAGCAGACGTGAGGTTTACACATGCAGAATAGGTAGACTGGGTTGAAAGGTAATGTGTTGGAGAACATGCAGAGGGCTGGAGAGATGGCTCAGAGGTTAAAAGCACTGGCTGCTCTTCTAGAGGTCCTGAGTTCAATGGGTTTACTGAGTTCAGTAAACATATGGTGACTCTGAACCATCTATAGTGGGATCCGAGCCCTCTTCTGGCATGTTGGTATTCATGCAGCTGGAACACCATATACATAATAAATATATAAATCTTTAAGATAAAAAACCCTGAAGAAAGACATTCCTGTGTGGGCAGTGTGTTTTAGAAGGGCATGTGATTTCTAGGACAGGACTGTAGCATGTGGAGATTAGGTCTGGGTGATTGGGAGCTCTGGGAGTGTTGTCACCAGCCACTGAGCACCGAAACCAGTTACTTTGCATGGTGTTTGGGATGATTTAGACAAGAGGCAGGGTTTACAGAAATTAACAGGTAATTAACTGTTTTGAGACACAGGTCAAAACAAGTAGAGTTGTGGTTCAGAGACTTGTTCATGCAGTATGCACTAAGTACTTTTCGAGTTCTTATTTTGTAATTTCATTTGTATAATGGGAACTGTTTTCTCTGATGAAGACACTTGGACCTGAGTGAAGGTCTTACAAATAAATTGTGTAACTCCACACCTCCCTTTCTTATAAAAATAAAAAATCACCCAACATAATTGTAGGAATTATGGGAAATGAAAAGTTGAAAATTAATTTGGCCCCCCTTTACATTATAATGGAGGCAACCACAAATTAGTTATGACATACTAGACAAATGTCAGTATTTAATAAAACAGTGAAAAATGCTTCATATGTCATAGTGGGTCTCTGTAGAAGGAAGAAAATGGCTGTTTAAATAGACCAGAAGATAGGTGATAGTATATAAGATAGTTGTGGGAGAAATGTGTTAGATAATTATGTCTGAGGTGCACACTGAGGAGACATATTCCTGGGTAAAATGCAGATACTGTTCTCAGAGCACTGTCCTTAGCACTCAGACTGGATATGACCTTGGCTTCTGGTAACACCACCTATCTCAGATCTCACAAAAGAATGTCATCTCCCACCCTTAACAGTTTTTGTTTTTATTGAGCAGGTGGGAAGAGTTAAGTCTATTAGGCTTCAGAGGAAATCCCCATTTCCTATGTCGGTGTTTCCTGGGGGTGTGTATTCTGTTGTTTTTGTAAGAATTTCCTATGTGCATACTGTATTCAAATCATTTTCACCCTCCTTCACCTTCTCCAACTCCTCCCATGTCCCCCAAGTTCATGAAATCTTTCCTTAATTGTTTGTGCACACACCCTCCTGAATCCTTTCAGTATTGTTCATGCATATGATTCTCCCTCTCCCGGCAGCCATTAGTTGCCTGTAGCTCTTCATTTAGGGGTGAGGCCCTCTTTTTCCCCCATCTACATTGGCATGCCATCTAGATACTGTCACTAAGCATGTCTTGTTTGGGTGACCCAATTGTTGAAATTTCATGGGTGTAGCTTCATGTCATATCTTGTACCAGATTTCCTGGTTCTCTGGCTCTTACAGCCGTTCTGCCTCTTTTTCAGCGGTGCTCCCTGGGCCTTAGGTTTGGAGGTTGCATTCTAGATGTGTTATTCAGGGCGGGCACCCAGCAATCTATTGTTATCTGAAATAGTAATTATGATAGTAGCCATCTCCATCTGCTACAGAAAGACGTTCCCTGCTCCCTTGAGAGTCTGAGAGCCTGTGGATGCAAGGATAAGTTTGAAGAATGGAATTAGAAATTACATTGATTTAGGGAAGTGGTGTCTCCTTTAGTCTTCTAAGGTCCTTGACCTCACTAGCCATCAGTAGTTAGCTAGGTTTACAGTAGACATGAATTTCCTTCCATTGAGCGGGACTTCAATCCAATTAATTAGACAGCCATTGATCACCCCCAACATATACCCGCATTGGAGATATCTTGGTTAGTGGGTCATTGTTGTTGCCTTTAGGCTCTATGGCTTGGCAGGACTATTGATTGTTTTTCTTCCTAGGCAGTGTGCATGCATAGCTCCTTTGGATGGCATTAGAGCTTGTGCTCCTTGCATGCCAATTCTAATCAGTTCAGCCCAGTCTGTGTCCAGCGTGTGGTGTTTTCAGCAGTAGGGTCTTCCCTTCAAGTTCTGGGGAGAAACCAAGGCCAATGGCAGTAGCCTGTGTTTGGGAAATCTTTTGGATTTTCCCTACCTAGCAACGCAAGGGGAGGTTTTTTGAGTTGTACTGGGGTTTTTGTTAGATATTCTGTGATTCTTATGAGAGAACCACCATCCCAAGTAGTGAAACTTCATTTAAACTGTGTGTGTGTGTGTGTGTGTGTGTGTGTGTGTGTGTAAGTGTAATAAGGATTCAGAACTAGGATCCATAAATAAGAGTGCATGTATTTGTCTTTCTAAGTCTGGGTTACCTCACTCAGTGTGATCTTTTTTAGTTCTGTCCATTTACCTGGAAAGTTCATGATTTCATTTTTCTTTGCTGCTGAGCAGTTTTCCATAGTGTCTCTGTACCACATTCCCATCAGCTGAAGGACATGTATGTGTCCATTTCTCACTGTTGTCCATAGAGCACCAATGAGCTGAGCAAGTATGTCTGAAGGAGGAGATTGAATCCAGCAGCTGGGTCATATGGTAGAATAATTTTTGAGATATTTCTTAAGCCATTTTTCTTCTTTTGAGGACTATGTTCAGATCTAAAGCCCCCCCCCCCCCTTCTTTTTTACTTGGGTGGTTTGTTTTCTTGACTTTTTTTTTTTTTTTTTAGTTCTTTCTACATTCTGGATACTAATCTCAGATTTACAACTGACAAGATCTGTCCCACACTGTGGGTTTCTTCCTCCAGTTGATTGTGTCCTTTGCTGTAAAGAGGTTTGCCAGTTTATGAGTTTCCTCTTGTCAGTTGTTGGCCTAAATTCCTGAACTGATGGGTCCCTCTTCAGAAAGTCCTCCTCTGCTCCTCTGTCTCCTAGGGTGCTGCCTTTTTTTTTTATTTTTCTAGCAGTCCTAGCATTTGTCTGGTTTGTATTCACGGCCCTGTGGCAGCTGAAGCCAAGTCTTGTGAGTATGTTGTCTTTAGGTAAAATAAAGGAGCCTGCAGTTGTCCTAAGCTTCCAAGTGTCGTGCTGGCCTTCTGGCTTAGCTAGTATTGAAGTTTTCCTCTTTTACTGAGCATAGTGGTGCATACCTTTAGTCCCCGCACTCCAGAGGCAGAGAGAGGCAGGTGGATCTGAGTTCCAGGACAGCCAGGACTATATTCAAAACAAAACAAAACCCTGTCTCAAAAACAAAACTAAGGTTTTCTTATTAATATATATTTGTTTCAGAAAACCTCTCTCTCTCTCTCTCTCTCTCTCTCTCTNCCCGCGCTAAAGAGCGAGCATTTAAGCAGCAATTTGTGAACTATGCAACCGAAAAGCTGCAGATGATTGTGAGCTTCACAAGTGCAAACTGCAGCCGCCAAGTCCAGCAAGAAATGGCTACCTCTTTTGCTAGACTGTGCCAACAAGTTGATGTTACTCAAAAACATCTGGAAGAAGAAATTGCTAAATTATCCAAAGAAATAGATCAGCTGGAGAAAATACAAAACAACTCGAAGCTCTTAAGGTAAACTTTTTCCCTCTCAATAACATGAATATCTAATTTCATCTCACATCCAAAATGTAATTATATGACGTCACTAATGACTTTGTATTAGAACGTTTAAATTAACTTTCCTTGTTGCTTTAAATTAAGAGTTCATGTTTGAGGCTGGAGAGATGGCTCAGCAAGAATACTTGATACTTTTCTGGGGAACCCTACTTGGTTCCCAGCACCCACATGGACTTCATAAAACTAAAGACTGTATATAGGAAAGGGCACCCAGCAGCCACCTATAACTTAGTTCCAAGAGATTCTGTGCCTTCTTCTGACATTTTTCATCACCAGTCAAGCAAGTGCAAGTACATACATGTAGGCCAACACACATAAAATAAATCTTTTTAAAAAGACAGTAACTGTCCATTTTTATATTCCCTCGTGCTCTGAAATTTCAGTGATAGCCAGTTGCAGCAGGAATCCATCTGAGCCAAAGGAAATTTCCTGGACTTCTACTCTCTGTTAGGCTAGGATAATTCTCTTTCAGAACAGAAGTTCAGTAATTTAAAATGACAGTTGGGCATTGTGTCAGCACGGTCAAGGTCAGCCTGGGCCACTGGAGACTTTACTCAAAAAAACCCAAACAAACAAATAAAACCAAAAACATAGCTTCTGTTCTTTCTGAGGACTGAGGACACTTGCTTTGAAGCAGTGAATATACAAGTGTCCTGATAAATTGGACTTCTGCTTTGTTATGACTACTATGGATCCTTTGGGAGACAGTAGTGGAAGTGTCACCATCAGGTCTAACTTGGCAGTTATTTTTACTCCCTTGCCAGCATGTCTGGGCGTATTGTTGTGTACCACTTGAGCAACACTGCTGATTCAGGGATTATACAGCTTATAGCTCTGCATCAAAGAACAGCTTTATGGCTAGTGTTTACAGATTGGAGGATGGTTCTCATGGCCTGAGTTTGGGGTGCATATGTAATTAGTCAAATGAAAATGTGTCAACACAGCGCTCACATTCGTCATCGCCTTTGCACAGTGCTTAACTTCTGTTTTCATGAATTGTAGTGTTCTCACCACAAGCCAGTTTCCAGCCTAGACAGTAGGCTGCAGCACAGCCCAGGTGTGGAGTGTCTGTGAGCCCCGAGTGTGTCCAAGTGCACTCTGATGTTCACAGTGCAGTCCTCTTGGAAGTCAGTCTAGCCTAGCAGCGCATGGTGGGTTGGAATCACAGCTGTACCAACTTAGGCTCAGCCATCCTGTCTAGTGTCTCAAGAGTGTCACCTGAAGAAATATATTCACCAGCATACGTACATTTCACTTCTGTGACCTCAGCCACACGTGCAGAGAGGGCAAAACAACTCCTCTCCAAATAGAGTCCCTTCTTTGTGAGTACATGCCCTGGCATGGTATGCAAATATGCTGTATAGATCTGCATCTGGCAGTTCAGTTAGGGCTTCCTCTCATAGACAGTTTATTACATCAAGTATAGTCCTAATGTGTTCCTTGCCAGCTTCTTTGCATGTAGTGTGTGAGTCATTCAGTACTTTACACTGTACAGTTATGACTGTGATGTAAGTAAGATGTGACTCCTGTTTAAGCTGTCTGTTAGACTGTTTTAATACTGAAGTCCACACCTTATTACCGCTTCAGACTCTGAGGTGTTCACTGTGAGCATGGCAGGAGCCACGTGGTAAAAATCATATATGAGTTTCAATAAGGATGGCCACAGCTGCTTAGAGGGCTGTTTCTCAGTTTGGATAGAACGTATTTTTCTCACTGACTGTTCGGATAATTAGGTGTATTCATTATCTTAACTAGAAATAAAGCCGTTCAACTTGAAAGTGAGCTGGAGAATTTTTCGAAGCAATTTCTGCACTCAAGCAATGAAGAATCTTAACAAAGGTTGCTGTGCTGATCACATTGGAGGAAGTGGACTTGGAAGAAGGAGAGAACTAATTTTATGAAATAACCTCAGTATGGATTACTACTCTGAGTACTGATGCTTTGCAGAGACTGTGGTAATGAACTGTCTTGGGGGGGTCACACTTTTTGGAGTGTTGCAATAACATCATTGGCGGTAGTTTAAAGACTGAACTGTTGGGTTAAATGATGGGTTCCTTTAGAATCAGTGGAACCAGCTGTGCAGCCTCTGAGGCGTCCTGCGACTCTTAACCAGGGCTTTCTGTCTTTGATTCTGAGTAACTGCTTCCTGGCATCCAGGAGTTAGAGATCTTTTCATCTTCCTTCACTAGTTCTTGATGCCTTCTTTAATGGGAATACGGAGTTTCTTTAATGGGAATACGGAGTTTCTTTAATGGGAATACGGAGTTTCTTTATCAGATGATTTGTTCACACCAGCGAGTGTGGGCTGCTCCTGGGTTTTACCCTCACAGCAAGGATGTAACCATTACTACACAGTTTTATCCTCATTAAAACTCATGTGAAATCGTAGGAGGGCCTGTCATTATAGTCACGCATGAAGTATCTGGCTCTGGTCTTCTGCTCTGTCTCTAACATTTCCAGCCTTGAGTCCAACAAGGAGGTCTTCTGCCTAAACGCGAGGTAGACGGTCAGAAGGGATGGCTAGCATGGGGCACAGGAGGTGTACGTGGTGTATGGTGACATGACTGTGACAAATGGATCCTTGGGAGGAATCTCACTGACACACTGGGCTTGTCCCCACTAGAAGCTTTGACTTTAACTACATGAATTTCCTTGGACCCCATTAAAAATTATCACTCTTGCCAGGCAATGGTGGCATCCCAGCACTCAGGAGGTAGAAACAAGTGGATCTCAGTGAGTTCAAGGCCAGCCTGGTCTACAAAGTGAGTTCCAGGACTACTATACAAAGAAACCAACTTGAAAAAACAAAACAAAAACAACCACAAAAATCACTGTGTTAGTGAAATGTTTATGGTTCGGGTATTTTGTGTGCCTCTGTGTTAGAGGCCGGTTGACAGTGTCTATGGAAGTACTTTTAAATGGCAAGGAAGGTTGCTTCTCTGACCTGACCATGAAAATAAAGTGCTAACCTATGGGTATTTTGTAGATGCCAGCTGTGCCATCCAGGGGACAGTGCACTCCATTTGGTTGTCCTTTAATTCACAGAGATCCACCTCCTAAGTGATGGGATTAAAGGTGTGAGCCTACCATAGGTACATCTCTTATTTTTAAAATTTTAAAGAATGTTACAATATTTTATACCATTATTTAGACCATCAAAAAGTTTCAAACTTACTTACGCTTTAGGAAAATTGGGTTGAGGGCTGCAGTATTCAAATTTAAATACACGTGACTACATTTTGCTTTTTTTTGGGGGGGGGGTGTTTCGAGACAGGGTTTCTCTGTGGCTTTGGAGCCTGTCCTGGAACTAGCTCTGTAGACCAGGCTGGTCTCGAACTCACAGAGATCCGCCTGCCTCTGCCTCCCGAGTGCTGGGATTAAAGGCATGTGCCACCATCGCCCGGCCTTACATTTTGCTTTTATTGCTGATATTTCACCCCCCAAATGGTAACCAAGTGTGATTAGGTGAAAATTACATGAAAAAACTTACCTGAAATCAGGGTCTGCTAACCTAAGTTACAAAGTTACACCGAGCACTTTAACTTCTGGCCACATAGTTAGCATGCTTCAGTGTAGTTCTCTGGGTTTGATCACTGGGTTATCAACATTACTTTGAAACTTGTAAGTGCAGGTTCTCAAGCTCAACACAGAGTTGTAGAATCATATCAAGTTTGGAATCTGCAGCAAGCTTCAAGAAGCCCTGCAGGTGATTTCAGTGTACTCTCAGTCTGGGAATGAGTGTTCATAGTTCAGAATGCTTTCCGTCACTGGATAGGAGTGCAGTTCCCAGCTGATGAAGTTGTGGCTGTTGAGAAAAGATTGTTTTCCTGCTGGAAGCCAGCTTTTCTACCAGACTAGAGCGCACCTGTGGCCGGGCTCATGCATTACACAGAATGTAATCATGACTGTTTCTGCTCAGTTACTACACAACTTGATGATTTACTGTGTATGTTTACAGTTTTATAAACTTTATATGATCCTTAACTTTTTACAAAACATTTTTATAAGTATGCAAGCTTGCAAGATGACAATAAACCTATTTGCCATTAGTTGATAAATGCAGCATCTCTGTTAGTGACTTTTCATTTCTGTCCCAGTCATTCTCATGACAGTCATGGAAGTCTTTCTCACACCCAAGGCCCCGATGACTGCACCACTGTCATTTAGTTCCTGTGGCCAGTCCCAGGGAGAGATCCGCGGTTTGCCACTGTCAGTGGCGGTTTGAGAGGTTTTCCGTGGTAGGCATGCAACTTGTAAGTACTGAGCCAGCAGGACTCCCTAAACAGGTAGAATACAAACCTTTTCTGTTGGTGGTGTTTTCGACACAGGGTTTCTCTGCGTAGCCCTGGCCGTCCTGGAACTTGATCTGTAGATCAGACTGGTTTCAAACTCAGAAATCTACCTGCTTCTGCCTCCCAAATGTTGGAATTAAAGGCGTGTATCATTCCTGACTCTAACTATTTCAAACTCTTTCATTAATCTTAAAATTGAGATATAAACATTGAATAGATTTTTTTTTTCCAATTTAAAAAATGGAACTAAATTACCCCAAGTGAGCTACAGGGGAAGCATGTCGTTTCTTTTGAGACAGGGTCTTACATGTAGTCCAAGCTGGCCTCAAACTTGGGATCTTCCTGTGTCTGTCTCCCAACTACTAGAACTACAAACCTGCTCTTATGCTCCAAACAGGGAGGAATGACCTACCTGTGAATGAGAAATTGGTGGCTTTAATAATAAACTAAAAGCTAGCTTTGGGTCAGTGACACACCAGTCTCTCCCTTACTTCCTTTCTTATTAAACAACAACAACAAAAACAGCATTTAAACAAAGGAAGTAGAGTTAACTATGGAAGTACTAAATTTGAATTAGTTCTGGGACTTAATTTTAAAAATCTCACTAAAATTTGACTTAAAACATGGTACAATGAAGACAGTGAAAAGCACTTTATTGATTACAGAGTATAGTACAGCTCACTACAACAGCATTGCACAAGCTACTGTACAAATAGGGGATCACTGTTCTAGCTCAGCACTGTTGGATCCTGGCACAGGTCCTCTGCTTGTGTGGGAAAGCTTTAGACATATGGCTGACATTCATAGTCAGCTGGCTTTCTGTGTTGAAAATACTAGAGGACATGGTGCCTTATAGAAAAATTCTCAAATCTGCTTCAGGACACATTTATGCTATCTGATGGCTTTGGTGAGTCAATGCAGATGTTCAAAGAGAAGCCTCTTGGAGAAAATGATAGGTTAGAGCACCGTTGTGAAAAGACAGAAGGGCCTGGACAGCCTACAGCTGTATCATAGTCCGAGTTAACAGACTATGCTATGGAAGATTTTGTTGGATACAGTTCTTTTAGTTGAAAAGTTTTTTTCCTCATAATGCTACATTATTACACCTGTTTTACAAAATCAGCCATTGGGTTTAAGGAAAAAAAAACTCTTAGAAAACTATAAACATGGAAAATATTTCCTAAATACAAGATATTCCATCTGCCTGTGGCTAACAGTGCTGACTCAGACATCCCATGAGCACCTGCTGTAAGCAGTGACCAGCAGAAGTGAGCCTGCTGTGCGCCTCACGTCCCACAAGATCAGTTTAAGATCATCTTGGTAAAACCAGTGCCTTCCACAGTGGCCAGAGCACACACACAGTACAAGCCAGGTCTGATCTGCAGAGTCTAAAGGATGTTCCATATTTAAATGATGGCAGGGCCCATCTGGGGTCTGCTTATTCAGTTTTTCTAGGCTAGTTAATACAAAAATGCATTATTATTCAAAATCCAAGATGTTAGTACCCACTTAATTTCCCTGAATAGTTTCACTTCTAAAAGTCTTAGTTTTACACCTAAACCTAAGTCTTCAATGGGATTGGAGAGTACTTTCAACAATAGAATGGTCATTTTTATGGTCTTTTTTTCTTCAAAGGGGGATTTATTTAAATTAGGTTTGTGTGTGCAGGGCCTGAGAAGGCCAGAAGAGGGCTTTGGGCCCCTTGAAGTTACAGGCAGTTGAACTGGGAACTGTACTCATGTGCTCTGTGAGAAGAGCCATCTCTCCAGTCCCTGGGGTAAATAAGGTTTCCACCTGATAGCCCTGGCTGACTGGCCTCAACTCTCAGTGGTCCTTCACATGCAACCCCCCAGGCGAAGGTCATGTTCAGATTCAAGTTCCTTACATCTCAGAAACACATCATCAGTCAGCTTGCCAAGTCTAAATTAAAATGACAGCCACTGACTAGACTTGAACTTGAAGGACCAGAGCCCAACACTCACTGTTTTTATGAATTTGGAATGCATTACAGTATATGTGAATCACAACGGAGTCCAAGCTTGTTAGGGACCTGGACTATTACATGGAGCACAGCTGCCAAAAACGAACTTGCTCATCTCAGGGTAGAGCTGTCCTTGTTGAACAGCAGGTTGAGGAATGTCTTAGAAAAGATCACGTGCCTTTACAATACTCTCGGGGAAAGATGCTTGTGGACTCAGCTAGAGGCCAAGGCAGAAGCCACAGCAAAATGTTAAAAATCTTGCCGATCTCAAAGACGACTTTTGTTTGATGTTTTGCATGCTAAGCATCAACCTGCTAAGGCACATTAACTAGGCTAATTTCAGGATGTCTCAGGCAAGCCAGTGTTATTTAGTCACAACAAACTGCAGAGAAACCCAAAAGGTACCCACCAGTAGAAAGCAGTTTGACTATGGTCACTACTGTGCCAAACATTGGCACTGTGTGCAGTGAGCCATATGTTCATCATGGTTACTCTCCAGCTGCATTGTAAGGGACAAGCTTTGAATAACATGAAAGCACACCTCCTTTTTAAATATAGATCTATGTGTACAAATGTTTGCCTTGTGTCCAAGGGAGTCATATTCCCTGAGACTGGAGTTACAGGTGGTTGTAAGCTGCCACATGGTTGCTGGGAATTGAACCCAGGTTCTCTGCAAGAGTAACAAGTGCTCTTATCTGCTTAGCCAATTCTCCTGCCCTGAATTCCATTTTAAAATATTTAGGGCCATAGAATTCTTCAGTATGACTTTTGACTGACAAAGCTGAGGACTGAACCCAGGGCCCTGCGCTTCAAGCACTTTACCACACAGATTAAATCCTTTAGCCCCGTTTTAAAATACATATTAGAAGTGCTGTTTTGAACAGAGTTTTGGATGAGTTCTGAGTTAACACAGCAGTCTTGGAAACACACCCTTTTGGGGAAATGATTGTGATCCTCTAATGTGCCTCAACTCTGGCTTGGGTGGGGTAGGCTGCAGGTGCGGCCCAGAGGTACAGCGCAGCACATACAAGGAGGGCTAGATTCCAGCCCAGCACTGTCTTTTTTATTCTTCCCTTTTAAGTAAACTGTGCCCTATTTCAGAGAGCTATGCTTCATAAAGTAACCTCCCTATTTCACAAATAGGCAAGAGCACAGGGGTCCCAGAAATGAGGACTGAGGTACACAGCCCCACCTGCCATTGATGGTCTGTTTCTCTTCAATACTGTATCTCGGTTCACCTCTCTGCTGTGGGGAGCGAATGTGTGCTGTGACACGGGCGCTGCTGTGACAGGGAGAATGGCTTGAGTATGAGTCTTGATGGGCTGTGTCCACCATAGCGCCCTCACCCTGTCTTCGTGGTCCAGCTGCGTACCGTAAAGGCTGCCTCCTTGTTCACCTGTATGCAGCAGCCATGTAACAAACTCACTTCCTGGGGGCTGCAGTTTCTTCCATGGCCCCAGCTCTCCTGTGTCTGTCAGCTTTTCATTCCCGTTCTGCCCCACTCAGGTCCAACCCTGGAGCTGTGTGGGAGGAGGCTCTGTCCACTGTAGTAAGTGAAGCACAACTGACCTTAATAACGCTGCTGCTGATTTCATCCCAGCAGACACATACACGGGCACAGTCACAGTATAAGGATGAAAATGCCGGAGTTTGGAAGTGTTAAAGTTACAGTTACAGGTGATCAACTTTAACAAACATACGAGTTTCAAACAATGTTTTGTATACCTCCAGGTAACCCGTGAAGGCAGCACCCTGCAAGAGGTAACAGTCTGCTATTGTCAGTCATTTAAATTTGTAGGAGAAAACAAGAGGCGAGGCAGGACAGAGCAATTGGACAGCCTGCTGTGAGCGGACCCTCTGAAACAATGCTGTAGGCTCGAGGGGCCAGCTCTGCACACTCAGCTGCAAGCTGCCTTGGAACAGGTATGTCGTGCTCTGGAGGAATTACTGCACGGCAGCAGAGCGCTTGCTTCCCTCTGAGGAGCCAGGGTGCAGAGCAAGCCTGGTGGGCACAAGGCCCTAGATTCCTTCTGCAGCACCACCAAAATAGAAGAGCAAAGGTTTAAGGGTGCAGATAATTTATACCAATTCAGATCTCACATTACGCAATTCATAAAGCCGTCTTATATATGTTAGTGCCAGCTGAGTGGGTGAGTTTACAGTTCTCAAAGATGTTAAAGGTGAGCCACTGTTTCCTACCCATTACAGAGAATACTGGATAGGAGTCTTCAGAAGCAGGGGCATGTCAGGTTTTGTCAAACTTGTGAAATACAAGTACATTCTACAAACTTGATTTCAGAATGAGAAATTAACAGCAAGATCTAAAGGTTCAAAGGGCTCAGCCTTTTAGAATACCAAAAATTAAGATACATGCCAATGTCTACTGGTTATAATAAATTGTAATGACATTTCAGTGTGCCCCTCTCTGTTGGTGAAATTTTCACCCCCTGGCCTTCACATCACCTGTCCCCTCAAATGACTCAAAAGAAGCATTTACGTAGATCCCCAGCATGGCAAAGAATGCATGAACAGCCACTGGCTTCTGCAGAGCCACCTTACCTATCAGCCCTCCTAATCAGGAGGCCATCGTGACTCAAATGCAATGTCAGAGCCCAAGGGGACGGACACCTTCAGACAGCACATATATCTACAATATCACTTCTGCCTATTATGGGTCCTGGCTCTACCATGACAATACTTTAAAAATGTGATGTTTCTCATATATACAGAGTTCAAGGGGAGTCCCTAACAAAATGCAAACACACAGTCACCTGCTACAGAATGTGCATTCTAATCTACAGAGAAAGGACCAGCACAAGCAGGAATCTGTCGGACTTAATGTCAGCACAACTGCTCAAAACCCAGGCCCTTGGCCCTCAGCAGGGGACCTTAGTCTTGATTGTCTCTGACCACCATTTGGCTGTACTTTATTCAAAGACGCTTTCTTTTGTATGTAATCTCAATAGAAAAATCCTCATCCACAAACAGAAGGTAGAGTTTCTTCTCACAGCTGTAGGCTGTAGCATGGATCTCTGGATAGCCATTGGAGAACGCTGTTAATTCCAGATTCTAAGAAAACTGTCCCAGGAGCCGGTGGCCACAGCCATGCCGTCATCAGTCACGCCTAGGCAGCTGACACGGTTGTCGTGACCAGCAAGGACACCTACAAAGAAAGGTCAAGACAGAGTTAACACTGGAGTTTCAGAACTGCAAAAGTTGTGCATTACAATGCAGATGGTGATTAGAAAACGACGGGGAAGAGACAGAAATCTTTAATAAATAAATTAATTAATAAAAAGAAAAACAAACAGGCATCCTGGGGACACAGCCAGCAGGGCAAATCAGGCACAGTACAAGACACCGTGGGTTACGTGAAATTTAAAAAACAAAACAAAACAAAAAAAACCCGAAAACATCAATTTGTGCTTCCGATTTTTGAAAAGTCATTATCTTAAAAAGAAAAAAAGAAGAAAAATGGAGAAGAGTGTCTTGTAGACACTTTCTTGTTTTTACAGTTCAAAAGGTGACTCACCTCCTACTTTTTAAAACGAACCCTGTTATCTACAACACTTAGAAGCCTTAAACCATAGTTAGGAGCAACAATAGGCTGAATAGTTTTCCAGGGCAATAAACTGTCAACCATTTAAGAAAAATTGAGAAAAGAGGTCTCATGTAGTCCAGGCTGATGCTGAATTTGTGACCCAGCCAAAGATAATCTTAAGATCCCAATCCTTCATCTACCTCCCAGGTGCTGGGATAGCAAGTGTGTGCCATTGTACCTGGGAGTTTTGTAATTTTTCTGCCTAGGAAAACATGTAAAAACAAATTCCACCCCTCAGTAAGTTCATGATATTCCAATTCTGCTACTGAACTGTGCTACTTTCAATAAAAACACATTTTTAAATGGAAGTTCTATACAGTGTACTTTTCCTTCCATCCTATCTCCAAAATAGACCCAAACCATTCATTTTGTTCTTTCTGTTCATCACCAAACACAAACTGGTTTTAACCTGATGAAGACGTTGAGCTCATTACGTTCTGTTCGCTGCAGTGACCTCAGACTCACCCATCCCCTTTTTTACTGCACAGGACAAAATAAACAGTTCTCAAGATTTGAGTGAAAATGCAAACATTCAATGAAGATGAGAATATCCTTTCATTATCTCGTGTCAAGGAATGTGTGAACAGTCGCTGGCTCCCTCAGAGCCGCCTCACCTATCAGCCCTCCTAATCACGAAGGTCAGGGACTCTGAGGTTCAAGTGCACCATCTCTCTTTAAACATATTTTCATTCTCAGAAGTGTATCCTGTTGAAGTATTCCCAGTAGCGTTTCCAGTCTGGCGGTGTATGGATGGCAACTTTACTTGGAATACCAAGTAAGAAGAAAGCACAGCGGTGGCCTCTCCAGTCACCCGGAAAGGACAGGGAAGAGAAGGGCTCCCAAGTCTGGATTTGGCTTTAAAGTGAGAGGCTGTACTAAGCCAGCCATGAAGACAGCTATCAGCAAAGCAAACCGGGAACTCAATCAAGCATATTAGAAATGAGTTGATGGATACTAGCAGATTGAGGTAACAGCCAAATACAGAATTCCTCATTTCTGGAGTCGCTGGCATTGGGCAACATGTTATTTACAAAAATCTACTTGCAAGGTACAAACTCTGAACTCTGTGATTTGTTAACTGACTTGAGAAGTTAATTCCCATGAGAGCTGAGAGCCTGTACGTCCAACAACTCTGAGGGCTTCTAAAGGTAGGGATTGAGCAAAAGAGGCACAAGACAGCAACAGAGCTGGAAGCTACAAGGTCTGCAGTAGTGGAGATGGGGATCCCTGGGACTAAGTGGGGGCAAGTGTGTCAAAACAGAACTGCATTAACAACTGGACAGTAAGGGGTGACACCCTCCCATTTGCTCTTCTGTGATGCCAGTCACATGACCAATGCCAGTTTAAGACTAGGGGATCAGCCACTAACCTATCTGCTGACTGGGAGAAAGAAGCGGTTGATTGGTGAGAATGGAGATTAGAACTGACTTGTTAACCTGTGATCCCAGCTTTCCTCTTGAGTCAGTCAGACAGTGGTGGGGAGCACAGGGAGGAGTTTCAGGGGACAGGGATGTGTGGGAAAGGAGCAAACTGGCAGTAACACAGGCGTGCTATTTCAAGCTTTTTTCTGAGATGAGGGTCTTGATGTGTAGCCCAGGCTGACCTCAAAGTTGTGATCCTCCTGTGTGTCTCCTGAGATTACAGGTATACACCATTGCACCCTACCAGTTTATCTTGGGGTGCAGAAAATATGTTTGCTGTGTTATAGTAACAAAGTACACACAGCCATATGTGTATACAGAGTACACACACACACACACACACACACACACACACACACACACACACACCCTATATGTTTGGTTAGTTGGTTGGTTTTCCGAGACAGGGTTTCTCTGTGTAACAGTCCTAGCTGTCCTGGAATTTGCTCTTGTAGACCAGACCAACCTTGAACTCACAGAGATCCACCTGCATCTGCCTCCTGAGTGCTGGGATTAAAGGCGTGCACCACCACTGCCCAGCTTCTGGAGTATAATTTTAAATTATTTCAGTTAACATTACAAATTACTCCATTTAATCCCAGTTCCAGTATGGTTGCTATGTTGGCTTTTAATGGGAGGGCTCCTGTTGAGGCCTGGAAGACAGTCTGCCTATATCCTCAGGGTCAGCCTCAAGAGCATGAGCCACTGCAGAAGCCATGCTTCCTGTTAGGTTAGAGAGCAATGGTATAGCCCCAAGTGACATCTTAGCAGGGTATGATGGCGGCACTCACCAGCAATCCCAGCATTTGGAAGGCTGAGGCAGGGTAACACTGAGCTCTAGGCCAGCCTGGCCTTTATAGTGACTTCCAAGCATAAGGATTTGTCTCAGAATAATAAATAAACAAACCAACCAGGATGTAAGAAAAAGAAAACTGATTTGTGCAAGAAGGCACCAATTTATATTTACTGCTCCTGACCCCTAATTTACCATTCTAGGACCTAATGTCATTTTTCAGTAGGATAAGTGTTCCTCCAGCTACCATCAAAGGTAATAAAGATACGAAGGAGAGCCGCCCAGCTGCTGCTCTGACAGCTCCCGGATGCCCAGCCAGCCTCAGTGTCTGTGGGAGCCTCTTCAGGCTTCCTGAAACAGAACCTGCCTTGGCCACATCACTGACCTGCCCGGCCTCCTTTCAGCGCATCCCACACGCTGCAGTTGAAGTCATCATAGCCGGCCAGCAGAAGGCGGCCGCTCTTGGAGAAAGCCACGGACGTGATCCCGCAGATGATGTTATCGTGAGAATACAGCAGTAGCTCTTGGTCTGCACGGAGGTCAAAGAGCCGGCAGGTGGCATCATCGGAGCCCGTGGCAAAGGCATAGCCACTTGGGAAGAACTAAAAAGAAGAAAAACAACAAGGTAACAACAATGGAGGCAGAGAGGCTGGCGTTGGAGGTGAGGTTGGTCTACACCATAATAGATGCCTGCGGAGACCTGGAGACAGAGAACCGGGGATGGGAGGTGGGGCAGGCTCTGAGGCTAATTTTGCTTCTTTCTGTTTCAGTGACTGCTGAGAAGTTTGTTTCTTTTTATGTGAGCCAGTGTCTTGCCATATAGCCCAGGCTGGCCCAGAACGCACAACACTTCTGCTCCAGCCTCCTAAGTGCTAGGGCTACAAAGGTGTGAGCCACCACACCTGGCCTAATACATATATATATTTAATATTCTGGGCTTTCGTTTAGTTGAAGATTTAGGCTGAATAGCACATGCAAAGTGCACGGGCCATTGCTCAGCACACAGTATCAGCAACGCCGCCTGTGGTCCTTCGCCTGTCTGATCCGTACATTTCAGCGCAGACGTACTGGGTGCCTGTCATTTAGGAGTCAGGAACAGTGTGCTGCACTAGGACAGCGCGCACGGACTGCATGCTCACACTAAGGTCAGCATCAGCGCAGTGACCTCCCAGGACCAGGGGCCACCAGGATGCTGAAGAGGAGGTTCTTGCACGTGAGTCAGAATCAGAGCAAACCAAAACTCCCCATGTTGATCGTAAGTCAAGTATTACTATTTACAGGATGTCTACTTAAATATTCCAGAATTCTATTATGAAAAATAAATTGGAAAGATTTTAGAACATACGGAACCCTGCGGCTGGGAGATGGCTCGGGAGGTAAAGCACTCGTGTGCCTGAGAAGACTACATTGGGGTTGCTAATGAATGCCACCCTCATGCCATGCTGTGGAGCCCAGGAAGCCTCAGTAAATGCTGGCCGAGTGTGGAGGCCTGCCCCAGCACACTCAGTAACTAGTATAGGTCAACTGGTTCAACTGAGAGTCCCTGCCTCTGAATAAGGTGAAGAGGGCACCCAACGTCAGCCTCTGGCCTACACAACACCTGCACACACATCACAGACATTACACATGCAGAAAGACAGAAAACAGACAGCTTCCCCCTCCACTGGCAATGGAGGGGTACAGACCCAGGCATGCCTGGCACCTGAGTAGCGTTTCCTGCTGCAGCCCTGGTCAGTGCGCCTTTCCACATGTGCCTAGTCAAAGCACTTCCAGCTCCTGGGAACTGTTTTCTCAGGACAGTTTTGTTTTCTGCAGTTGAGCTACTGACACTGATTTCTTACTGTGTAGAAACAAAATGTCTGTACATTGGTTTTATTTGCTCAAACGTGGCTCCGCAGCGTGTTAAGGCTTCACAGAGTCGGGTTTGTTTAGGCTTCACTTATTTCTTTGGTTATGTTTTTGAGACAGGATTTCCTTTATCCCCTGCTGATATTAAATCACTGAGTAGCTGAGGATGGCCTTGAACTTATGATCCTCGCCCTGCTTCTACCTCCTGAGTGTTGAGATTCCAAGCATGTGCCACCATACCCCGCTTTCTTTCATTCCTTACACATTTGTATGTGAGCGCACAGGGTGATGCCAGAAGTCATCAGGCATTTTCCTGGGTCATTCTCTAGTTCCTCTTTTGGTCGCTGTTTAGATGGGTTCTCTCCCGCCTCTGCTCCCCAGTGCTGGGATTGACAACAGGCGGTCCTCCCAGGCCAGCCTTTTCACCTGAGTCCTCATGTGAGCACAGTGAGTACCAGCTGAGCATCTCCCCAGCTTCCTTCATCGCTTCTAAAGAATAGTGCGTACTTGGGTTTAGTTCTTTTAATTTCACATATTAATCTTATCAATCTGGAGTCTATTTAATAAAGAGCCTTTAATAAAGTAGTGCTCTAACTTAATTTCTTCATTCTTAAGCAGTTGTCCAGCTGTTAATTAGTTTTTCTATTGATCCTCTGCTATATCATCCACTAAATTCCCGGCAACAGCCTGTGTTCTTTTCCTGTGTGGGGATCAGCCCTGGGCCTCATATATGCTGAGCAAGTGCTCAACTCTGAACTACACTACTAGGTTTTAAAATAATATTAACATTTAATAACTAATAACTTAGTATTAATATAACCTACCCTTAGGTTTTAAAATAAATAAGTTGTTTGAGGGATATAGTTGCTTCAATTAAATGTATTTCTGATTACTAAATACAAATATGTTGTAATTATATCCTCTCAGCTTCTTGGCATATCTTTTTTCGTTCTCAGATCTGACTATAGAGTTGGAAGTTTGAGAAGGATTTATATAGTGGGGCAGTGTTATTTCCAGCTGTTATTAAGCACAGGGAGACAGTCCCCGACTGTTTCACTAAGAGTCCCACAGGCACAGTTCTGCTGGGCAGCAGCTTGACGAGACTCACAGGTTCCTGGAAATGGCGGAGGCTGCTCTTGGTGAACACGGCTTCTCCATTCCAAACAGGAAATGCTTTCCTCATAGATTCCTGGACGACTGCAGGACCCGGGACCATAAAGTCTTCCTTCCTCCCACCATGTGCCTCGTGGTTTGGTTCCTTGAAGTTCAAAGCCTTCCCTAACCTCCTCCCTCTGCTGGTGTTCCTGGCCGCTTCTTCTGTATCCTCACCTCTCCAGGCCACTCTTGGCTTTTGTTTTGTTTTCCTTGCTGCTGCTGCTTGTTTGGCTTTTGGTTTCTGAGACAGGGTTTCTCTGTGTAGCACTGGCTGTCCCAGACCTCACTCTAGCCCAGGCTGGCCTCAAATCTGCGGCAATTCTCCTGTGCTGGGACCATGGCATGGTCTTTGTCCTAAGGCCTAGCCTGTTTATACAATATTTTTCTCCCAACTATTTCATTTCAAAAGGGGCCTCAGTGTTTACTAACAACTCAACAAAGATGGCCCCTTAGTGCCTCATCCCACAAACAAGGAAAACAGCATCAGTCTCTGTAAACTCACTGTTGTAGGGCTGGAGAGAGCACTTGCTCAGCTTGCCTGAGCACATGAGGACATGGAGCTTGAATCCCTTGTCACTTGGGTGACAAGTTGGGCTTGGCTGAGTGTGTCCTTAACCCCAGCATTATGGGCGTGGCTGAGTGTAACCCCAGCACAGTGGGCATGGCCAAGTGTAACCCCAGCACTGTGGGCGTGGCTGAGTGTGCCTGTAACCCCAGCACTGTGGACGGGCAGATGATTCTGAGATGTTGCTGATGAGGCAGCTCAGCCAGGAAGGCAAGCTTCCAGTTGAGTGAGACCTGTTTTAAGTAGTAAGGTAGCCGGTTACAGAGGAGGACAGCTGATTTTGTTTGGGCCTCTGATTGTGTACACACAGGTCTTTACACCCATACTCATGCACACGTACCACACATCACTCGCACACAAAATTTAAAATAATAATAAACGCCGGGCAGTGGTGGTGCACGCCTTTAATCCCAGCACTTGGGAGGCAGAGGCAGGCGGATCTCTGTGAGTTTGAGACCATCCTGGTCCACAAGAGCTAGTTCCAGGACAGGCTCCAAAATTACAGAGAAACCCTGTCTCGAAAAACCAAAAAAATAAAAATAATAATAAACAAATTAACTTTTACCAAGCTCTAAAGAAGAAACAAACAACAAAAATGAGTACCTGCCTAGCATTCCTGTTGGCCTGCATTCAACACTCAGCACCACGCAGACAGACACACCCCGGGGGCTGGGACAGAGAAGGGGGGAACCCACACATTTCAACAGATAAAGTGTTGGATAAAATTCAACATTTGTTCCTGATTTTTCAAACTGACAGCACTTGCTGCTCTTACAGGTGACCAGGGGTCAGTGCCCAGCGCCCACATCAAGCAGTTTGTAGTCCACTCTAACCCCACCTCTGGGGGCTCCAGATTTGATGCCTTCTTCTGGCCTTCAAAGCACCTGCTCACACAGGTGTGCGCGCACACACACACACTGTACATATTTAAAAAAAAAAAAACCTTGGTAATTTTGACTATAAGAGGACACACTCAGGCTTGTAAAAGTGACCCATGATGGCTGGGGCAGGTGTGCCTTCCCTGGGATGCTATAGTATAAGCAGGCTGACCTGAAAGAGGGGAGCCAAGCACTTGCTCTCTGTGATTCTGTATTGCTCAGGTTCTGTCCATTCAACACAAACCATAGTCATTTGGGAAGAGGGAGCCTTAGCTAAGATGCCTCCATTTCCATCAGACGGGCCTGTAGGCAAGCCTATGGGGCATTTTTGATGAACAATTGATGTGGGAGAGCCCAGTCCACAGTGCTGTGTACCATCCCTGGACAGGTAATCCTGGGCTATAAAAACCAAGCCGAGCAATCCATAGGGAGCAAATGGGACCAGCATTCCTCAGTCTGTGCCTCAGCTCCTGCCTCCAGTTCCTATCTAGAGTTCCTGCCCTTTCTGCCCTCAGTGATGGACTGTCACCTAACGTGTAAGCCGGAATAAACTCCTCTCAAGTTTCTGTTAGCCAGGGAAGGACCAAGCAGACGCCATAACAGGTGCTCACTCTTCTCTCAGAGAGACCAGGCCTCAATTTCAGTTTCCTCAGACTGAACAAGCAGTTTCTTAGGAAAAGCCAAGAACAAAGGGCAATCAATATTCAACACCCGCATCAGCCAGGAGGCCTGGTACATGCAGTCCCAGGCCGGGCCAGGCCTGCGCCAGCCCCCACAGCAGTTCAAGGACAGGGCCTGCCCCCAATGGAAAACTGTAGTCCCTGGCTAGTATATTAGTATGAAGACATACTAATATGATTTCCACTTGCCTAAGTTAATCATGTCTAAAACGACCTAACTCCCGTAGACACTCCCCTCACTTCAGCATAAAAGATGCTCCTGCCTCCTCGAGTGGTTGCCGTCCTGCCCTTGTATAGGATGGTCAGACCTAGCAGGCTGCAATAATAACAAAATCACTTGGTGGTCTTTGGGGATCCTGACTCTGGGGACAGCAGTTAGTGTTTTATCATAGCAACAGAAAGTGAACTAGACAGTCGTAATCTGCAGAACCACATGAATATGACTTTTAGAGTGGGAATAATAAACACAAACCCTGAAAAGCCATTCGGTGTCAAGGGGAGCTACACAGGGTGCAGTGTTCAGGAAGGGGGTGCTGCTCTCTGCAGAGAGATAGCCAAATCAGGGAGGTGCCAGTTCTGCCATGTGCCAGCTTTGAAACCGGACAAGCTGCAGTGTCGGCGAGCCTCACACCCCAGCCTTCCTAACAGGTTCTATCAGAAAACAGTGCGGAGACTAAGTGGATCGTGTGTTAGAAGCCCAGAAATGTGTTTGTGTGTGTATCTTGTATCTTGTCTAAAAATAATAAAAATTAAAAATAATAAGCACTCAGATTTGTGGATTAAAATGTTAACAATCAAGAGCTGCTGAGGATCTGGTGTTGTAAGAGCACACTGGTCGTAAGAATCCACGGAAGTGCTCTGTTATAATGGTGTCATGTGCAGCACTTAGACACAGTGCAGTTTTGAGAGGTGGAGGCAGCAGGATCAGGGGGATTGGGAATAGGGGGTTTCATCAGCCTCGTAGTCTGGGCTACAACGACTCTGTCCCCAAAACAAACCAACAGAACAAAAAGCCAAGCGTGCTTCACTTACGCTGACAGCGTTGATGTCCGAGATGTGTCCTGTGAAAGACTGTCTACACATGCCGTCTCGGACATCCCACAGCTTTGAAGATGCGTCACAAGCACCAGAAACAAAGGTCTTCAGGTCAGGACTCAGTGAGAGACTCATCACGTCACCCGAGTGTCCTGCGAAGGTGGTAGTCTGCTGCCCCGTCTCGATGTCCCACAGAGCACTGTGAGGAAACGCCAGGGCAGACACAAAATGACCACATCCCGCCCCAGGGTCTGTGCCCACGAAGACAGGTTTCTTTGGGAAGGGACTCACCAGGTCGTGTCTCCTGAGCTGGTGATGATCTGTCCGTCATCTAGGAATCTACAGCAGGACAAGTAGCCTGCAGCGGAGAGCAGAAATGTCAGGTGACACAGGATTGGGATAAAAACTCGGGCGACAGGGCCTTGTCAGTGGGCCGTGTGGCTCCGCTTTAATGGTTGCAGTTCCTCGCTGTCTTCTGAGGCTCTCATGTATCACACAGGAGTACTCAAAGTGACTGCATCAAGCACGGTAGCCTGTTAGCAGCAGCACAGTGTTTGACCTTGACACTGTGACCACAACAATGTCGTCTACAAAATTCATGCTTAAGAACCAATCAGTTAGATTTTTGAAAATTGTGAGGAGTGTTTTTATTTTCAGTATATTTGTGATAGTGTGTTGGGCTGCATTCATAGCTTCCCTGGGCTCCATGCAGTCTGTAGGCTGCAGGTTGGACACACCCGAGAGAGTGCTCCTATAGCCTAGAACCTCTGGCAGAATGGGCCCAGCACCGGGGAAGACCCTAAAAATACTGTGAAAGTGTGACGGGAAATGCAACATCTGCATGACTCCTGTCCGTCAGCATTCCAGAGTCCCCAAACGGCAGGGAAACACTACTGTGAGACCCTGTAGAAACGTGGTCAGCCGGCAGCACCCAAACCACAGACAGGAAGGATAGGAGTGGCAGGGGCCTCCTGAATAACAGGGCCTTCGGACATAATGACTCCAGCGGTCAGACAACACAGTCCCGAACCTTGTTCCAGGGCAGCAGAAAGCGCAGAAGGCTGGATTTGCTTTCTTTTGTATTTTTTAGGATTGTCTGGATTTTTTTGGGTAGCAAAATTTGTCATGTTTACAAAGCAATACAGTTATATTTGAAGGAAGAAAACATAGGGGTAGGAGTCCACCTCCATGCAGGGTGCATGCTCGGTGAGCTCAAGGCCCCAGGGGCAGCCCCCGCAACAAAATGAAGTAACAATGACTGGAGTGCATTGCAGGCTGGGAGCTAGTACCCCTAGCTAGCTCAATAATTGCTGCGTCCTTTTGCCTCTGGTCACAGTCCGCCAAGAATCCTTGCTCAACTGTCAGGAAGGGGGAGACGGGGACCGACCGAGCGGGGGTAAATGGCTCACCTGTGTGCCCGCTGTCAGGAAGGGGGAGACGGGGACCGAGCGGGGGTGGGGGGTGGTAAATGGCTCACCTGTGTGCCCTGGCAGTTCTCTGCTCACCCGCACGTTCCCCTCACGTGTCTTCAGGTTGTATATGGAGCAGATGTTGTCCAAGCCTCCACAGGCAACATAGTTCCCAGATGGGGCATAGGCGCAGGTCATCACCCAGGAAGACCTCAGCGGAATGGCATGCATCTACCACACAAACAATGCACAGAGGCATGGGGTTCGTCATGGGGAAAGACTACAGGGGTGTTCAGTGCACTCTTAAACCTGCTTAGGGTGAGGCAAGCTTTGCTGGAAATCAGGCATAGCGAAGAACAGGCAGGAGCTCGGGAAAGGAGGTCACGTGACCTGGAAACACCGCAGGATGCCCCTTTCTGTGTTAGCAGGCCACCTGCACTTAAAGCGTTCGTTTTAGGGATGGTTTTATTTTTAACTATGTGCCTGTGTGTTCATGGGCAGTGCCCTCAGAACCACAGGCACTGAATGCCCGAGAGCCGGCACTACAGGGAGTTGTAAGCCCTGGATGCAAGTTCTAGAAACCAAACTTAGGACCTCTGGAAGAGAGCAGCAAGAGCGCTTAGCCAAGTGAGCCGCCTCTCTAGCCCCAGAACCCTTCCAATGTTTTAAATAAAAGCAAAGCTATATATATATATATATATAGTTTTTACTTTTTGAGGAACTATCTTAATAGACAGCCCGGTTGGCCTGGAGTTACTTATGTAGACCAGACTGGACTCCAAGAGATCTGCTTGCCCCTGCCTACTGAATAAGATGTAAAATATGAGTAAAGATTTTAGCAAAATCATTGGCACACTAATGCTCAAAAGAGGAATCTCCTGTGCTGAACACTGAACCATAAAAGGGAGGGAACCGAGGGAACCAATTCGAATGGCTTTTCCCTGGGGCCTGCTTGGGTGCCCTTGTCGTAACAGCATCCATTCCAGGATCGCAAGGAGACTTAGAGGCAGGTCAGGTGGAACAGCTGAAGGTGTCTGATCTACCAAGACTAACCCCACACAGGGTATCCACACATCCTGGGACAGATACTACCACGCTTCCTCTGGACCTAAAATAATATCATAAAAGTGTATCTGTTTTTCTGGTTTAGGAAAATAGGTTTGAACAAGACTAGCTTAATACCAATTAGGATACAAAAGCTGTTAGCTTACAAATTAGTCACCTTTGAAGTCTCAGTCAGGCTGAGAGTGCAGCTCATGGACACAGCACCTGCTGTGTACGGGCAAGGACCTGAGTCCGGCCTCAGCACTGCAGGGGGAGAGGCTTAAGGACTATCCGTTTCACCAAATACTGCTTCTGACTGCACAGTAAGTTACCGCTAACGCATACAATCTACAAAAGTACGTGACTTAGAAAATATGCCCCCCTCCATGTCTGCACTGCTACTCAGCAACCTGGAATCAAGGATTCCTTATACTGGGTACAATAAGAAAATGCAGATTTTCACTATTAGATTTCAACAAATTCAATGTGTCTATCTTCTGAGTCATCCAGAAAAGCCAAGTGGTCTCTGAAGGAAGCCAGGGAAAAGCTATCCAGAAACCATCACCCATAATCTACCCCCAACAAAAAAGTCAGTGTTATTTCACCGTAGGAACTGGAAATTGTAAAAGTTCGTGTCTATATAACAATGATGGTCTTCACAGGCAGGTGTGGTGCCCGCATGGCCGTAAACTCAGCACTGAGGAGGCAGAGGCAGGGCAACCAGGAGCTGAAGGCCAGCCTCAGCTACATAGATTTCAAGACTAGCCTGGGCTAAATAGGAGCCTATCAAAGAGAGGAAGAGGGGTGGGGGGAACAGACAGAGAGGGAGGGAGGGAGGAAGTAGGAGGGAAACTCAAACTGACACAGACATTGTTCTTACAGTGTGTCCCTAGAAATAAAAGGAGCTCAGCACTAAAAGCAAGTGTGTCTGTCCTAATAGCGGCTCTGGATCTAGAATAAATTCATCTCAGAAGGAGGGGCTCTGAATGAGAAGGAACTGCCAGGCGGTAAACAAATACAAGATCATTTAAGAGAAAGATGAAGAAATTCTACCTTATTTGTGGTATAGCTATCCCAAATAATTAATTTTCCATCTTGGGATGCACTGACTAGTAGCCTAGAGGAGAAACACAAGAACAATTGGACACTGAGAGGAAAAATGGTTAATTAGTTATATACATTTCATCTTTGAAGGACACTGCAGAAGAGAACACAGTTTTTCCAATAAAACCTGTATACCGAAATAACTTTTCTGCCAGCCTTTAAAAACGTTATATTCCATGCCAAACACTTAGAACAGAAAGAATATTTAGCCACTGACTAAAAGAGTCTCTGTCTAGGATTCAGGTTTCCCCCTGTGACGTTTTGGTTACCCATAGAGGTTTCCGTGGATACTAGTGGAGGAGCTTAGCCCTGACTGACAGGTTTAGTGACTTAACAGGAGACCCAGGCCCAAATCCACATCCTGTCCAGCCTAGGCTGTCACCCAAGAGCCTGCGAGTGAAGGGCCGTGCTGTGGGTACCGTGGAGACCAAAGAGTCAAAGACATAAAAGGACTACATTAAGGGTTGTTGCATTAATAAAAGGACAATGTGTGGGCTGGGCGTTGATAACATGTGTCTTTAATCCCATACAGAGGCACATGCAGGCAGGCACAGGAGGATTCTCTGTGAGCTGGAGGCCAGCCTGGTCTACAGAGCTAGTTCTGGGACAGTGAGGGCTACACAAAGAAACCCTGTCTCAAAAAAACAGAAACAACAACAAAAAAGGGCAATCTGTAGGAAATGGAGTTTTTAACTTTTTTGTACTTCTAACTATGTATACGTGTGCTTGTACACAGACTGGCGTGCAAGTGCCATTGGAGGTCGGGGTGTCAGATTCCCCTGGAGCTGGAGTCATAGGTGGTTGATGTGGGTGCTGGGAATCGAACTTGGGTCCTCTGGAAGAGCAGAACCACTAAACTGTCTCTCCAGCCTCAGAAACTGGAATTTCCGAGAACAAAAGATAAACTGTATCCTAGGAGGGGGTAATGATGAGTGAACAGAGACAGGAAAATTCTGGGGAGTCCCAGGACCTGGGGCCTTCCCGTCATGCAGCTGGAAACACAGATGGGGCTTATGCTGCAGAGAGCTTATGAGAAAGCTCCACCAATTTATGAATTCTGGACTATGCAGTCACTGGATTTTTGTTGTTGTTGTTCTGTTCTGGAATTTTGCTTTATGAAGAGAGGGACAATTACAAAAATCACTCAGTTTTCTTCTTTGCAGGCAAAGGTTTCTAATCTATGTTATAGAAGGGGAGGTCCAAAGGTAGGCTGAGGGGGACCAAGGAAAACCTGACAATCAACCCATCCATTGTGCAGACAGGAGTAGTAACCCAGGAATTAATTAGCAGAGAACCTGGAAGGGGGAGGCAGCTTCCTGGGTGATATTTGATTTTTGAAGAAAAAAAATTAAAAAAAAAATCACTAACATTGGTTCAGTAATTAGACTTTGGGTTAAAAGTCTAGATTATCAAGGCAAATTCATTTTAGATTGTTAAATCATATTTATTGATTTTTATGAGTGTGGGAAGCAGAGGCCAACTTGCAGGAGCCACTCTCCTTCCACTATGGGGGTTCTGGGGAGCAAATTCAGATCATCAGGTGGTGAGAGCTTTTCACCCACTGGCCCAGGGCAAAATTTTTATCTTAAATTACAGAAAAAAAATCTGCCTTAGCTTTATGTAAATTGTCAATAATATAATTTTATTTCTTCCCTTCAAAGAGGCACATACACTATGTTAGTGTGTTCAATACCCTCCCCACTTATAAATCAAGATTATATTAAACTTAGAAACAGCAACAAAATGATTTAAAAGAACTCAAATGATCATAGACTAACAATAACATATGTGTGTTACGCCCGGGGAGTAAAAGATAATTCCGTTGCTGGACCTGGTGGTGCTCATCTTTAATCCCAGCATTCGGGAGCAGACCTCTGTGAGTTCAAGGCCAGCCTGGTCTATAAAGAGAGTTCCAGGACTGCAAGGGCTACACAGAGAAACCTAGTGTGTGTGTGTAGAGGGGTATTCAATCAAAAGACTCATTTTGTATAATTCAATCTTTGGTGAGTTAGTTAAGTATAGTAACACCCATAATTTAGACATTAATTTACCCAAGCATTTGCTTATTAACTGCTATTTTAATATAAGTCTTGGCTAGGAATGATGCCCAAATCTTGTCAGGTAAAAAGGAAATTCCATAGCTCCAAATTCCAAAAGGCTCTCTGTGGTCCAAAGTACACACTGGCCTCCAAGTTCCCTCTTTCACAAGTCCCTGTTAGCTCTTCTTATCTCCTGCCCTCCCCTAACCTCCCTCCACCTCACAGGCTTCCCTCCCCCAGCTACCTCTTCTCTGTCTCCCTTCCCCATCTCTCAGCTCAGTTCCTCCTCTCACAGCCCGGCCCAGTCTGTGCTCTGGACTTTTCTGGATGTCTCTGGATGTTCCCCCTAACCATACTATGGAGCAATCCTGTGGTCGGTTTATACATACTTGTGATTCTAGCTCTCAGGAGCCTGAGTCACCAGAATAATGGCTTTAAGGCTAGCTGGAGCTACTTAGCAATAACCTGTCTTAAAAGGAACAACCCCTCCCAAAACAAATAGTTTTGACATATTTAAAAAAACACACATAACACTCCTCTGTAAAGATAATGTCGTTATAAAAGTTTTACTAATCTGCTTGGAAGACAATAAATCACAGAAAGTAGACTTTTGTCATAGACTGCTCCTCCAAAAACACCCCAGAGGTGTTTGCTGACCAGGCCTGTTAGAGATGAGTGAAATTTAAGATGCCAGGAAAGCAGTGTTCTCCAGGATTGAGCAGGCATTAGGCTCCGTTCCCATAACAAAGGAGACAACTCTGATTTACAAGCAGTCATTAGGCCATCCCCATATCAAAGAACAGTCCTCTAATAGGCTGCAAGGAGCAGCCCAGGGTCACAACCAAAGTCCAGGCCTGCCAGCAAGCCCCTAGTGCTGAGAACAGTACAAGAGCATCTTCTGTCCTGGGCAAAAGGACCCCGGATAACAATGGACAAGTATACACTGGTATACTTAAAATAGTTCTGGCAATAGGTAGCGTCTGCTGTGCAAATCTCTCATCTGCCTAAAGGGCCAGACCTGCGGTCTCCTGTCTGTTTAAACTCTTCAACGTCTAACCTGGGCCAGGACGTGAAGGAGATTTAAGGATGACAGTGCATGTGGAATGCAGAAGCCTCAAGTGTCCCTAAGTGGGTCCCTAGCTCACTAGGCCAGCTCCACTTGGAGCATTTGCCAGAGCTGGACGGGCGCTATCTTAAAGAGCTTTTTCCTCTACTAATCTCTAAGGGTGCAGGGCGATTTCTCACTGGGAAGGCTTATTAATTCTAGAACACAGCGAGAAATCCTCCTCTAAGTGGTTTCCACAGTGGGCTGTGGCGGAGACAAAGAGAGGTAGAGAGAGGGAGAGGGAGAACTGTGGTTGGAGCCGAGGAGGCAGAGGCAGGCGGATCTCTGTGAGTTTGAGACCAGCCTGGTCTACAAGAGCTAGTTCCAGGACAGGCTCCAAAACCACAGAGAAACCCTGTCTCGAAAAACCAAAAAAAAAAAAAAAAAAAAAGAAAAATCAAAAAGAGAACTGTGGTTGGAACGTAAAATGAAATTTTTTAAAAAACACAGTTGTGCCCAAAAATAAATAAATAAAGTTTCCATAGGTCACTAGATAAAGATCTTTTTGAGAAGCATTTTCTCATATTAGAAACTTTAAAAACTATGTATTAACACTTACTACTCTGTATGTTTATGTCTACTTGTGGGCGCACATGTGCAGACTACAGGACCACTTGTCAGGCAAACGCTTTTATCCAAGAAGCCGTCTTGAATGCCCTAAAAACTCTGTAAGCTTTAACAAATCAGAGCCTCTGGGTTTGAGACCTGCGCTGGAACAAACAAACGGTTCTAAACCTGGCAATGAATATTCACTCCTAGTACAAGGAGCATGTTCGTAATTTACACCTTTTCTACAACACTGCACACATGAGGCTTGCTTTGAAGAGACAAAACACAAACAATGATTCCTGATGAAACAACTTCAGAAGCGACAGCCACTGACCTGGAATCATATCCCCAGTGCATGGCGTAGATCTTAGCGAGGTGGCCCCGCAGCGTGCGCCTTGTTCGCATTTGTATCCGACCCACGGAGTCCATATTAGACGTGATCTTTAGAAAGTGACAATAACATTACTCTTTACCTTAGACATGGCGTAGATAAGAAGCAGAAACAAATTCGCAGCAGCTGAAGGTGATTTGGTACACAGAGAACAAGAGCATCGCTGTGAGTTCAGTTCACGGAAACCATGATTAACAGGGGTCATCCTGTGTGCTGCTGGGGCTGAGGAGGCTTTTTCAGCCGAGGAGCTGCAGTAAACAGACGTACAAAACTCCAACCACAGTGAGAAGGAACAGGGGTGACTGGGCAAACTGCCCTCTGCAGGACGGCTTCTGAGCTGATCATCAAGAGAACTGTCTGCAAAACATGCCAGCCTACAAATTCTTTAAAGGTTTTATGTATTATTGTATGGGTGCAGTATTGTGAAGGGGGGTGGAGGAGAGAGAGAACAGGAGGTATAAGCTGAGGTCAGAGGACAACTTCTTTGTGGCAGGTGTTTTTCCCTCCTTCCACGGTGCTCCAATTCTGGGGATCACACTGAGGTCTTCAAGCTTGCATGGCAATTGCCTGGCCTCAGGCCCTCTACCAAGCATCCATTGGCTAGCTCCTATCAGATAGTTTATAAAGAACTAGGGAGAGGTGGCCTGGGTCTCTCAACACAAAGCAATGACAAACACTGGAAACTCTTACCACCCTGATTTGATACACCGCATAAGTACCCAGTTGTCACAGTGTGCCCACAAATATGGACACACCATGTTTCGGTAGGAAAAAAAAATGCAGTCACAAAGGGAAACTAGAAATAAGTGACTAAAGAAGAAAACATCTCTGTCTGTAAGAAAGCCATGGAGCTGGAAAGATGGCTCAGCAGTTTAAGAGTACTGGTTGCTCTCCCAGAGGACCCAGGTTCAACTCCCTGTACCCACATGGCAGGCTGCTCACAGACATCTGTATTATTATTTTAAATATTTATTTATTTATTTATTTATTTATTTATTTATTTATTTATTTATTTATTATTTATACATTATTCTGTCTGTTTGTTTGTCTGCAGGCCAGAAGAGGGCACCAGACCTCATCACAGATGGTTGTGAGCCACCATGTGGTTGCTGGGAATTCAACTCAGGACCTTTGGAAGAGCAGGCAATGCTCTTAACCGCTGAGCCATCTCTCCAGCCCTCACAGACATCTGTAATTCAGTTCCAGGGGATCTGACTCTTCCCTCTGGCCTCTGAGGGCAATACATGCACGCGCACACACATTAAACACACGAGTGTACAGAAAAACAGCATAGTCAGCATATACGAAAAGACTCAGGAAGTGCTGAAGAACAAGCACAAACTAGACGCCCCTGCGTGTCACGGCACCTACTGTCCCGCAGACTCCTATTTCAGCAGTAACAACATCTGGATGTCACTGGTGCTGTGATACTTCATGTGAACCGCTGACATGAACTGGGGAGACTTTACCTGAACCAGCGTGGCATCGTTGCAGGCCTTCCTAGCGTCCTAGAGCAAAGGAAAATAATGACATGTTAAGATGGGGGAACCGCTAGAGTAACAGGTTGTGTTTACTGAAAATAAACCTTTATTGTATCACCTCATCTTAATTTAAAATTTTTCTGAAATACACTTTACCTAACATAAAAGGGGCCATTTTAAGGTACACAATTGAGCAGTTTTTCAGTAATTCAGAATTGAACCACGTCATAATCCAATCTAGGACATGTTTACCACGTCTATCTGTCTGTCCCCAATCTACCTAATCCCCTTCTCTGTACGCCTTGACTTCTCCCTTCACTCTGTCCTTCCGGTGTGGACTTGCCAATCAGACCTCTCTTGTAAATCAAGTCACACAGTACACGGCTTCTTCCGCTTGGCATGTTTCCAGGGTTCAGCCATGTTACTGTATGTTACGGCCTCAAGCCGTGTGCCTCCACTTTAAGGTGGACGGTTCTAATGGGTGATTTTTCAGCATTCTATCTGGTAGTTGAGAATTTTGGGGCATAGATGGTTTCCATCTTCCAGTAATTTCAAAGCATGATGCTGTGTTCCCACGGTTCCCATCTCTTTGGGACGTCTACCTGCTGTCGCCCAGAGCTGCTGCACCAGCCATGTCCAGGGCTCCAGCTCCTTAGTGTCTTCATGTCGCTGCCAACTCTTATGATAGTCTGTGCTGTTAGTCACGGCCATCTTAGCTGTGAAGTAGCTCACTGTGGTTTGGACTTTATCGTGAATCTTCCCATGCACTTCGTGTGTGTGTGTGTCTGTCTGTCTGTCTGTCTGTGAGTATAAATCTGTACATGTGCCAGGCGGTGGTGGTGCACGCCTTTAGTTCCAGCACTTGGGAGGCAGAGGCAGGCAGATCTCTGTGAGTTCGAGACCAGCCTGGTCTACAAGAGCTAGTTCCAGAACAGGCTCCAAAGCTACCGAGAAACCCTGTCTCAGAAAAAAAAAAATCTGTGTATGTACATTGTTGGTATTGTTGGTGTACATCTGTGATTGTGTCTGAGTGTGATGTGTGTATGCTTGTTTATCTGTGTTTCCATGTCTTTCAGGGGATCTCTTTTAAAGCTTTTGCCAATTTTTAGATCAGGTTTTCTTTTTATTGTCCAAATAGTAGTTTGTTACTTATTCTGGATACTTGACTCTTATAAGATGTACAATTTTCAAACTTGATAATTTAAGATATATTTTGTTTTTAATTTATGCATATGTATATGTGTGTGAATTGCCTGCAGAGGCCAGGAAAGTGTTAAATCCGTGGAGCTGGTTATAGGTAAGTTGTGAGTCTCCTGATGTGAGCTCTGAGAATGGAAGCAAGCGCTCTTAACCACTGAGCCATTTTCTTTTGGCCCCTTGATAGTTTTTTTGATATATAAATGTTTAGATAATAAGATGTAATTTTCTGAATTTTTTCTTTTATTGTTGAACTTTTGACATCATATTTAATTGGAGCACACTGAGAGAGTGTGTATTACTGACATGACTATGACCATGTCAAGGACCCCAGTGTGTCAGACCCATGGGAATGGCAAAGTCTTCCCTGGGTCAGGTTCACAGGACTGGTACAGCCTTTCTCCTGGCCTGGGTGTGGCTGTTGACAAATGACTGACCTTTACCTAAAACCAGTGTGTGCAAACACTACCAACCCCAGTTTCCCCCTCCTGGATGACTGCAGCCCGACAGGGCTCCCTGATGGAGCTCTCTTAGCTACCCACTGTCTGCTGGCTGAGTCGCTGACTGAACAGGCCGCTGTGCTGTGCCTCCAGAAGAGCGCGTGGCCCACCCGGTCCAGGGTTTCTGTGAGTATTCCTGTCCTGTTTTTCATTTCTGTCACCCAGTCAGGGCAATCCCCAGGCTGTGTGGGTCATGACAACTATTTCCTAATAGAAGGGTATGAAGATCTACCAGGTTTACTTCTAAGAATTTTACATCATAAATTTGTTTTAAATTTTGGGTTTGTTTGTTTTGTTTTGTGTTTTTCTAAACAAGGTTTCTCTGGTAGCCCTGGCTGTCCTGTAACTCACTCTACAGACCAGCCCGGCCTCGAACTCACAGAGATCTGTCTGCCTCTGCTCCCCAAGCACTGGGATTAAAGGCATGTGCCACCACACCCAGCTTAAATTTTATGTGTTTTATGTAAGTGTTCTGTCTTAATATGTCTGTATACCATGCACATGCCTGGTGCCTTCAGAGGGAATAAGGGTGCTGATCCCCTGGAACTGGAGGTAAAGATGGTTGTAAGCGACCCTGTGGGTGCTGGAAATGGAACCTAGATCTTCTGGAAGAGCAACCAGTGCTCCTAACTTCTGAGCCACCTCTCTAGTCTCAGAGAGCTGAAACTGTACAAGCATTCTGCATTCAAAGCACTTTTGGCTTATGGGTCCAGTGTGCAGGGATGCAGCTTGGGATTTTTCTAACTTTATTTTTTATATTTGGTGCTGGGATGAAACTCACAGCTTTCCACGTCCTAAATACCGGCTCCGCTACTGAACTACACCCCGGGTGCAGGAAAACCACCTTTTCTGTTAAAGGCAGCAAGTCTTTTCCTGGATAGCACTTTCTGTTGGCTGTTCTTTGTCCTTTCGTCTTCTCGCCCCCTTCTTTCTCACAACATCTCTACAGACTTTTACACTGTCCTGAACAGTGTATAATACTAAACCTTCCTAATGCTGTGACCCTTTAACCCACTTCCTCATGTTGTGTTGACCCCAAACATAAAATTATTTTCATTGCTACTTCATAGTTGTAAATTTTCTACAGTTATGAATCATAATGTAATATCTGTGTTTTCTGATGGTCTTAGGAGACCCCTGTGAAAGAGTTGTTTGACTCCCCAGGGGGTCACGACCACAGGTTGAGAACCACTGTTTTTTTTTTTTTTAATGTATACAATATTCTGTCTGTGTGTATGCCTGCTGGCCAGAAGAGGGCACCAGACCCCATTACAGATGGTTATGAGCCACCATGTGGTTGCTGGGAATTGAACTCAGGACCTTTGGTAGAGCAGGCAATGCTCTTAACCTCTGAGCCATCTCTCCAGCCCTAACCACTGGAATTGAACTAGTCAATCATCCATGCTGGCCAGGCCCCCACCACATCCCAGGTCAGCAGGCTTTCTCTTGCTTTGCCCGTCACTTGTACTTTTCTCTATAAAAAGAAGCAGGCAGCTTCGAGGCTACTTAGAGCACAGTCTCCTTCCTCCACCCGCTGCCAAGAGGCTACGGCATGCTTTCATTTCCAGTTTTCCTTCCTGGATGCCCTCCAGTTCCCAAAAGTTAAGTGTCTGTTTCACTGATGCCCCTTGGGGCACTTATTTCCTGAGACTCACTTACAGACTCCACCCCTGGTGCTTGCCCACCCACAGCCCATGGCAGCTCTTCCCCACAGAAGGGTCTAAACATCTCAGTATCTTTTGTTTGTTTTTAAGGTGGGTAGACCCGGCTAGCCTTGAAGTCAGGTCTCCTGCCCAAGCCTAAGTAGGTGGTGACCAGTGTTCTAGGTGTCCTTCAGTTTATTGTCTGTTCCTTCTGTGCTCTGTATTTCAGTTGCCTTCCGAGACTGAGAGGCGTCACATCTGTCCTTTAGAAGCTTGTTTTGTAACAGAATACTGTTGAGATAAAGTCACTTCAAGATACATGGTAAGATCTGTCCCACGTATCCCACTCAAAATCTCCGTGTGTGAAGAAGAGGCTTGTTAAGTGCTTCCCATTGGCATATAATAACTATGGGTTTCACTATATTTTCATCTGTGTGGAGACTGGTTTCAGTCACACCGTCCCCCGTAAGCCTTCTTCTCTCACACCGATGCCTTCCTGGACGAGAACCCATCATTACACTTGTCTCTCAGCTAGATTCGACATCTACTTTTCATTCATTTTAAAATTTTACTTTGTGTGTGGGCCATGTTTGCCACAGCATGTATGTGCAGGTCAGAGGACAGACGGCAGGAGCCTGTTCTTTCCTTCCATTGTGTGGGTCCCAGTGACAGAACTCAGATCATCAGGCTTGGCACCGAGCACCTTTACCCACTGAGCCATCTTACCCGCCCTAGGTGTGTTTCTCATTTTTCTATTCATTTTTCAGTGGCAGGTGTCATTTGCCAGCATGGGTAGTTGCTTGGAATGATTTGAGGGAGAATTCTCTAGAAACAGGATGAAAACACCTTAACCATTTCCATAATGTTTCCACAAGACAGGGTCTCCTGAGTGCTGAGGTTGGAGGTGTAGGATGTCACAGCTAGCTCAGGCCAGCCACTTCTAGCCTCGGGAATGATTTAATACGTGCTGACGGTAAACTAAACAGCAGAAACGAAGCTAAGCGGTGAGGCTTCAACGTGGGGCACTTCCTACCTGGATCTGATTCCGCAGCTGCTCAGCTTCCTGCCTCAACTGTTCCAGTTCGCTCATCCTTCCTGACCGTTTTCCTCAGGCGTCCCACGTGAAGAGCTAAGGAGGGGGTGTCAGTTAACGTCTATTTTAATCGACATGGGAAGCACGAAAACACAACTTTTTAGTCCTTCCAACTATTACTGGAACTTAAAACTGCTTAATAAATAAGCAACCAGATCATTTACAAAGCGATTTTATGCAGGAGTACGACATGAAAGTTGTCATGACCAACATGGAGTCCTTTCTGCCAAACCTTCTCTGAAGGAGGCGCTTGTCCACACACATGCATCCCGATGAAGGAATGTCCAGAAGTAAACTCTTTATGAAGGGGAACTTACATACATATGTGCCCACAACGGAATAGTCAGGAATTTCTGCAAAGGAATATCCCACGTAAGCGATTCGAACGTAGCCAGCTCCCCCAAGAGCCCACACCAGCTCCAGACACAGCAGAGTGAGCAGCGCTCTTTGTTTCCAGCTTGGATAGACATTCCTCTTTCCTGTCTCCTCTTTTCCCCTTTCCCTTTTCATTCCCAGCATGCTCAGATGCAGACATGCTGGCCTCGGGCCTTTTTCAGCATCACAACTATCCATGGCTCCTCTCAGCTCCTCACTCTGCCCCTACCCTAAACTTCACCAGTGCACCAGCTTCCCTTCCCCCAGCTCCTTCATCCTATATAACCTTGGTCCTTCGGCCCCTCTCTCTTGGCCTTCTCCTCTTCCTTTCTCTTTTCTTCCTCTCTCGCTCCCTCCACCCCTCTCTTCTCTCTCAGTTCAGTCTACTGGCCATGTTCAGTGCGCTACGTTCTCTCCCTGCTCTGGACTCTTTCGGTTGCCTCTGGCTGTGCCCTTCTTCCTGTTACAATAGAAACCTTCTCCTCGACCGCACCTCAGAGCAGCCAGTTCCCATGTTATACATCTGGTGCCCCCAAACCCCACCATATCAGAGAGTTGGTCTATCACTTATTTTAGGTCAACGATGATCAGAAGATGAGGAAGAGATCTTGAGATGAGGTACTTAAGACCAAACCACAGGAACTGAAAACAGACAGGTCCATGGAGAGCCTGCCTTGTGATGTTGTCCTGTCCTTGTTTGTTTTTGAGACAGGGTCTCACTATGCAGATCAGGTTGGCCTCCAGCTCAGAGAATCACCTGACTCTGCCACCCCCTAAGATAAAGGCATACACCACGGGCAGCCTGAAGCTGGTTTGAATGGATCCTTCTGCTTCCACCTCCCAAGAGCTAGAATAACAGACGTGGTGGCTGGGATGAGAATGGCCCCATGGCTCATATATCTGAATGCTTGGTCCTCAGTTGGTGGAACCCTTTAGGAAGGATTAGGAGGCGTGACCTTGTTGGAGTAGGTGTGGCTTTGTTGGAGTGGGTGTGGCTTTGTTGGAAGAGGTGTGTCATTGGTGGTGGACTTTGAGGTTTCAAAAGCCCACATCTCTGTTCTCTACCTCCAGTTAATGGGTCAGGATCTGAGCTCCCAGCTACCACTCCAGCTCCAGGCCAGCCTGCCTGCTGCCACACTTCCCACCATGATGGGCATGGGTTCACCCTCTCAAACAGTAAGCAAGCCCCCAATTAAATGCTTTCTTTTATAAGTTGCCTTGGTCATGGTGTCTCTTCACAGCAATAGAAAAGGTGTGGGCCACCATACCCAACTTGGATGGCTTTACATGCAACTCAAACTTAATATTTCAAAGCTTTATCTCCAACATACCCCGATTCCCTCTGTATTTCAGTCACTGGTATTCTATTGCTGTAATTATTTGAGCTCAAAAAATCCTTGGGAATCATTTATTTCCACTTTCCTCTGAACTTCCTGTCTATTCCATTAGCGATCCTGTCCACTCTCCCAGGAGCTGATGCAGTCTGCGGGCCTCTACTGCTATTAATCTGGTCATCATCCTCTCTCACCTGACCTGTTTTCCTGCTTCTTGACTTTTCCCTACCCATGTCTACAGCAGACACTCTCAGAACGTAAGTGTTAATCCTGCAGTGTGTCTTCCACTCAAGCTGAATTCTCTCTCCCCATGCATACATGCATGTGTGCATGCGAGCACACACACACACAGACACACACACACAAACACACACACAGAGCTCTTGTGAAAGCTAGAGGACAGCCTGTGATACCAAAACAACCTACAGGGAGGGGAGGCTAATTTGGCTTACACCCCCACATCACTTTTCATCATGGAAGGAACTCAAACAGGGCAGAAACCTGGAGGCAGGAACTGATGCAGAGACCAAGGAAGGGTGCTGTGTACTGTATTGCTCCTCATGGCTTGTTGAATGTGCTTTCTTATAGAACCCAGGGATGGCTCCACCCACAATGGGCTGTGTCCTCCTTAATCAATCACCAATCAAGAAAACACCCGACAAGCTCACTTACAGTCAGATCTTATGGAGGCACCATCTCAATTTACGTTCCCTCCCCTCAGGTGACTTTAGCTGGTGTCAAATTGACATAAAGCTATCCAGCTCACTGGGGTATCATTTCCTATGCCCTGTCCACCATCTTTTGAGACAGGGTCTCTCATATGAGCCTGGAGCTCACCAAGCTGGCCAGACTGGCAGCTTCTCAGCACCAGAGGTCTGCATGCCTCTGCCTTCCCAGTGTTGTGGGATAAGCTTTTTGTACACTGTGAAGATGTGTCTCTGCCAAGGCACCTTCTGACTAGTTTAAAATAGAGATGAATGGACAACAGCTAGGCAGGAGAGGCTAGATGGGACTTACAGGGAGAGCTAGAAACTCTGGGAAGAAGAGAGGTGGGATTTGCCATTTAGACATGGAGGAAGTGGGACATACTGTACTGAGGAGAGGTAGTGAGCCACACGGCAGAATGTAGATCAACACAGCAACATAAATGGGTTCATCTAAGTTTTTGTTTGTTTGTTTTTGTTTTTTTAAGATAGGGTTTAAATGTGTAGCCTTGGCTGTCTTGGAACTTGCTCTGTAGATCAGGCTAGCCTCGAACTCACAGAGATCTGCCTGCCTCTGGCTCCCAAGTGCTGGGATTAAAGGCATGTGCTACCACCGCCTGGCTAATTAAAGTTTTAAAAGCTAGTTGGGAACAAGCCTAAGCTAAGGCCCAGCTTTCATAATTAACAAGAAGTCTCTGCAGAGCTGGTGGTCCAAAGAAAGTCTGACACTCCATTCCAGCACTGGGATTTCAAGTGTACTACCAGGCCAAGCTTTTTTTTTTTTTTTTTTTTAAATAGGTTCTGGAAATTAACTCAGATGTCATGCTTGCAAGGCAAGCACTTTACCACTGCAGCTTTCTCTCAGCCCCTAACACTGAACTCTTGACCTTGACCTTCAGAGGCTAGGCAGCAGTGCTCAATCTCTCTCTCACATCCACACACACACCCTACATATACCCCTGACCTCCTTCCCCAGCTTCTGAAAATCTCTTGCTGGTCCTGAAGACCCCCAGTGAGCCTTGGTGCTTTCCGACCCGACCGCTTCTCTCTCTGGGATGCTCCTGCTTCGGATGTTTTCATTGCAGGCTCCCCTCGCCTGCTCAAATGTCACCCCATGGCACACACCACTTTCACTCGCAAGACCTCTTGCCTCGCCTTATTTCCAACACTTCTCAGCATGTGTTTACTTATTTGTGGTCTGTTTCTGCTCAATACAATGCGCTGACTCGAAGCGGGGGCCTTTCTCTCTTTCTCTGCATCAGCACCTAAGACACTTTGGTCTCCAGTAAACAAACCAATTTGAAACAGAGTAAGAAATAAAGAAAATTCACTCTTAAGAGTCAGAGAAGTCACCGTGGCAGAAGGCAAGATTACTATGTCAGGAAGAGAGACTGTAACTGTACAATACCCCATGCCCACGAACCCAGAGACGCTAGGTAACAAGAATACATACATCGATACCCCCGAGAAAGGGAAGCAGACAAGACCTCCTGAGAAAATTAGGAGGGAGGGTGGAAGAGGAGGGGAGGAAGGGAGAGGAGAAGAACATGAGGGAACAGGATGCTTAAGAAGGGGGAAGGACAGTGAGGGAAAGGAAAGAGATGTCTTGATTGAGGGAGCCATTAAGGGACTAGCGAGAAACATGCCACTAAGGAAATTACCAGGAATCCACAAGGATGACCCCAACTAAGACTCTAAGCAGCAGTGGAGAGGACACCTAAACTGGCCTTTCCCTGTAATCAAATTGATGACTACCTTAATTGTCATCATAGAACCTTCATCCAGCAACTGATGGAAGCAGATACAGAGATCTCAGAGACCAGTCCAAGAGGCTACTGAAGGCCAGTCCAAGAGAGGGAGGAGCAATAGTATGAGCAAAGGGGTCAAGACCATGATGGGGACACCCACAGAAACAGCTGACCTGAGCTAGTGGGAGCTCACTGACTCTGGACTGATAGCAGGGGATCCTGCATAGGACCAAACTAGGCCCAGTAACTATGGGGCACAGTTGTGAGGCTTGGGCAGTCTGTGAGGCCACTGGCAGTGGGACCAGGATTTATCCCTAGTGCTTGAACTGGAGTCTAGGAGCACATTCTCTTTGGAGGGATACTTTGCTCAGCCTAGATATAGGGGAGAGGATCTTGGTCTTGCCTCGAAGTGAAGTGTCAGACTTTGTTGACTCCCCATGGGAAGCCTTTTCCTTTCTGAGGAGTGGAAGGAGGGATGGGGTGGAGGGAAGGTTGGATCAGGAGGAGGGAGGGAGTGGGATTGGGGATATCTATGTAAAATGAGAAAAGTGTATTTAAAAAACCTTAATTAAAAAAAAAAAGAAAAAATACTCGATGCCCTTATCCTATCCACATCTTACGGTGCTTGTTTATCATATTTTCTTATTTTCTACACTTCCCATATATTAAAAATGAGATCTGTATACTACAGTATATGCAGGTTCAATATCCGTATTGGGCAAGAAGCCTTGTTGGTGATGCTGAGTAAGTCAGAATGACTTACTAGAGTTCACGAAGAGGAGCCAGATGTTAGCAATGTAATCTACCAAGTAAGTCCCCACTTTCAACCAACAGCTTAGCTTTTGAATTTACTCACTAGATCCATACCATCAATG